ACGTACTGGTTATAATTGATTTTATTTCATCGTTACATACAGTCATCATATTATTGATATGTTATTTGTTTTAAATTCTTTATTACTATTATAGTAATTAATTATGACAAAAATTTAGCATTTAGATATCGATGATTTTATCTAATCAGAAATGAATAAAATTCAAAATCTTATAAAATAATATAATAATGGTTTTTTTTTTTTTTTTTACTTTGAGTTATAATTTTCTTTTCGTTAATTACTAGTTTGTTGGTGTATCTCACTTTTCCATCAAGGAAAAACTTTTTTATTCAAAAAAAAAAAAAAAAAGATTGCCTGAACATTTCGAGATTTTCAAAATCAGAGCAAGAAAACACGAAAGGACTAATGAGACTCGAAAGTCCAAAACATGTTGCAACAACGTTAAAAAGACAACAATCCATTGGTAAAGCATGAGTGCTTATGTCTTGATTGAGAGAATATCCAACAGATTTGATTGTGGTCTTTAACAACGACGTATTTAACTCGCACGACCCGTCCAAATTAAAACAAGTTACTATAAAGAAACGGAATTATCCACAATTTAGGGAAGAAACGTGTCTCTTTTTGAAAATCATATGCCTCCCACCCAATCATAATTTCTTGTATCTATTAGCCAAGAAATTACACCAAAAGGACCAATTGTGCAATGAAAAGTGTCTGACCTATCTTGCAATAGAATATTAGGATGTGGCTTTAGGCCGTTCAAATTGATTCACCTACAAGATAAGTATAATTTTCAATAGTGCATGTTCTTTGTATTTGTTTCAACTAAACTCATCATACATACATACCCATGCACTACTATTTAAAGTTTAATTATCTGAAAAAATCACCTAAATTTTAAAATAGATTATCATTATTCCAAAGAAATGATTATACCATATGTATGATCAGCTAAAGCACCTGATTCACAATTTTAAGCAAATATGTGATTGTTTAAGAATAAGTTTTTATCTCAATCCACATTATTTTTTTTGAAAGTATCTCAAACAACATTATATTATACTTCATTTCTGGACATATTAATTATGTTTTTCTTTGATCTTTTTTTGACTTGCACGTACATGAAATTTTCTTCTCTTCTTTACATATATAGCTATGTATGCGTGTGTATACATGATCATGCCTTCCCATTCAGTTTACATCAAGTTTTTCAATGTTGACTTGCATGCACATGCCACACCTCACTTGGAAAGGATAGATATAGACATTTAATTAGGGTTCATGATATCAGGCATCAACTCGATCTTTGCCTCCTTGACTGTGAAAAAGGAAGGTAAAAACGAAAGCACTGAGCCAACCCATAAGCCTAGAAAAGTAAATGGCCTTAGGCCGGCAAAGGGCTTTATCTAGAAAATGTAACAGCAGAATGAATTTGGTCATTAGCATTTGTATATTATAATTTTTGCTCAAGTGGATTAACTTTTTTCTCTAGTTGGAAAATTTGGAATTTATTCACGACGTTGAAGTTCAATTCATTAAATGGGTTAATGATGGTCGGCTTTATTAATCATTTTGCTTTTGGAGGAGGATGGAACATATATGTTGATTGGGAAACTTGCCATGGATTAGTGGACGAATGGTCCCTTTCTTCTTGCATGCCTTTTCTCCCCTTCCTCCCCCTCCATTGACTTCATATGCACTTGGCGTAGTTGTTCCACTGTTCATATTGGCTAGATACTTAGAAATTACTCAAATAAATGCTACCACGAACCTAGCTATAGCAAAGAATGAAGAAAATTAATGTTTCCTTTAATTAAAAGTGATCATTACGAAAATAGAGAATTATTTCACCGACACCCCTGATGTTGATCTTCAAGATATTGCCAACAATTCGATGTCGGTGGAGACCAGAAAGCAAAGAGAGGCATCATATTCCTTGGCGTTTTCATCCCTCAGGCATATCTGGTTTAAACTAAGAAAAGGAATTGCAATGGAAATGCACTTATAATTTGTACTGTTGAAATATTCCACCTAGAACCAAATGCTACATATCGGGCATATGTAATTTGGTGCCTTTGACAATGAGGGAGAAGAACAACTTTCCAAGTTGCCCTGAAAGTGGATTCTAGAAAGATTGACAAAATCGAATACTGTGCAAAGTTTTATGCATTATATATAGTGGCAATGGTGGCAAGAAGAAGAATATAATATAATATAATAATATATATATATATATATGAAAGAATAAAATCATTTTTCTTGTTCTTTCAACTTCAACGTAGAAATACAGCTTAAATAATATTGTCGCTGCATATGAGACTTTGGCATCATCCATTTTCAAACTCGGGAGGAAGCTTCTCACACAAATATTACATAACCCCTTGCTAAGGCCATAGTCTTCAAGAAAATAGAATTACCTAATAAACAAGCGCCAGTCGTAAACTTAGCGAATCAAAAAGCGATGTGGCAGCAAAATGTTCAGCCTAGCTCTTAGCTGTTGACGTAAAAAATGTAGTTGCATAGAGGAGAATTTATTCATGTCCTTGAAAATGAATGAAAAGTGGATCATTGATTCATGCATTCAATCTTTTTGACGATAATTATTAATTATTTGACATTAATGATTCGTTTGAGAGAATAATTAAAAGTATTAGTCTTAGGCAAATTGAGAGATTATTAAACTATCAATTTGTACCATTGACTTTTGGGTAAGCATGTTACTTGGGAATCACAAGTATTATCATATATTATCATATGATCTAAACTATCATTTTTTGATCTATCTAATCAGGTTGGAATTCGTTGAGCTATTTCTCCTGCATCCATATATAAATATATATAAAAGAGTAAATACTATGGATCCAATAAAATATTTTTTCATCTTAGACATTTCTTGTATGTTGTTACATCACAATTATTGCAATAAGTAAATAAAAATTTAAAAAAATAAAAGAGAAAAGGAAAAAGTGATTTTTGCTTCTATATATAATTGTTTGTTATCAATGATGGAAATTAAATGGAAAATTGTTAGTGAAAGAGAAAATTGTATATAACCGGCAAGTTTTAGTGGGTGTTTCCTATATATAATACAATATATTTCTTTCTTTCTTTTTCGAAATATTGGTGGAGATTGGAAGCCAATGAAAAAAAAATGCAAATCTTACCAATAAATTCTCATTCTCCACTTCATTTTTCTTTTATACATGTAAAAGTCTACTAGACTTAATTTCAATACTTAAACAAACAAGAATTTATTTTCTCTCATCTCATGATAAACTTAGTCCTTTTCTCTCTAATTAATTTCTAACTTGAAACTTTCACATTTAAAATTTTAATATATTATTCCATTAGAATTTCTTCTTAAGAACTTCAATTTCGTCCTTGGCAAAGCAAGAAAAATGTTTTTTTTTTTTAATTCACCTTCATTTTTCTACCTTCTTACCAATTGAAAAATGGTTGAAAGTGGAAAGCATGACTACAAAGTTTTGTGCATATCACAAATTTAGTGTCTCATGAAGCGACATGACACCGAATCATTGAATCATACAAACATTCTAGCTTGTCTAATCAAGTGATTTTGGACAAGAGATAGATGTTAGCCAAAATCCACTATTTTTGTGTTTCATGTGTTGCTTGCAATTGGGTTTTCGAATTTCCGGCCGCAAAAGTGAAAGCACAATGAAATCGCTTTCAAACTCACAATCTTACACGTCATACTTATTCAAAAGGGTGATCAGGTGCCTTGGGATGTTGTGTGGCATTTTACCAAACAAGCCCCAACTAACTCGGACTTGACCTCCAATATATTTCTAGCTAGTCTTCTTCCCCTAAACCGTTGGATCAGTTTGAGAGGACATTGTCAAAGTTCGCTACTTTCAGAAATGTAATGATGCTCCCCAATGCTCGTCTTTGAAAAAAGTTTCATATGATTGCTATATGAGTCGTCTGGTCATCAAGAGTTTGGTTGGTGTTAGTCTGCTCGATGGCTCCATCACAAGTTTCTTTATCGGTTTAGAGAGATATGGCTACCAACCTCATTTGTGCAGCTTTGGCTCCACATGTTTTAATTACCTCAGGAAGTTGGTTTGGAACTTTCCCATTTTTCTATCTTGGTCTACTTCTGTAATTCCTTTCACACTTTGAAAAAACAAAATTTTCTCTCTTCTTATCTTTCCAATGAAAATCCTTCCGTATTTCTTTTTCTGTAAATGATACAATTTTGTAATAAGTATTAGCATATTAATTGCTGTCCGAGGAGGATTTCCATGCTACAAAATTATTAGCAAAGTAATAAATATATTCCAATTAGATGTTAAAAAAAATTAACAAATTGAAATTTTGTATTTTGAAGGATGAGAGATTTAAATTGGATCCTTTATACAAAAAGATACATGCGTCAATTATTAAATTAAATACTCAAATGTAATTAAACGTGTGTAAACATTTGTATGTAGCAAAATAAAGGAGAATAATGGCAAAATTTTGCGATGACTTACGATAGCATAAGTAAGAGTAATGAAAAAAAAAAAGAAAAAATTATTGTTACATCCAGACCCATCCAATACAAGAAAGTTAGGTTGTTGGGCACATAATTTCCCCCGCAGCCATCCAATGTCAATGAAGCTTGATTGAAGCCAGATCAACACAAGTAGCAAGCCCATTCCAGCGCAACACCAGCCCAAAATCTCCCAAAACATTAAGAAAAAAGTGAACAGAAATTTGGAAAGTTATATGAGGTAGCATAAGTGGGGTGTGGAGATACGTGTTTGGTTTGTTGCGTAAACAATGGCAAACAGCTTTACTTGAGGATGAGGGGATCACTACTCCACTAATTAGCAACTTTTGCCCAACAATGGAAAGAAATACAAAGTCAGCACTTACTTCCAGCCCTGAACCACATCAATTGTCTTCCTCTCATCCTTGCAACCAATATTCTTCAATGAACATTATTCTATATACTAAAGACGGAATTTTTAAACTCCACGAGTAATTTTATATAATTGATACATACCCATTTCATAATCATGATAATTTATAAATTTTATTAATTATAATCCAATATATACGTCTTTTTTTTTATCCATTTGAATGGAGCCAGGGGATGAAGATGTTGGTACTCGAAACTCTCACTTTACATGTATTTTTAAGTCTTTTTAACCACTAAATCAAAAGCTGAAGACAAATCCACGTGAAGAGTCTAAAAATTTTCCAGCAACATCCCATTTTTGCTAGGAAATATTTCTTGAATTGACTTTCCAGTACTATCATCAAAGACGGTTTCTTGGATCAGAGTTCCAACAGGAAAAAATCCCATCACATGGTCACAATCATCTTTACCATCTCCATCAACCTTCAACATTGCATCCTTATTTATCTTCACATTTACATTCTGACCTGATTTACTTCCTTCTCATCTCCTTCACCAGAACTGCCAAAATGTTAAGATCACAGTGATTATATAAGAAACTTGGTCTTGAAAATTACAAAATTTGGAGTAACTTGATCAAGTTTAATCTTTTTACTCGATCACGATTCTCAGGAATTGGAAGTCAGGAGTCAAATATAAACTTCACTATTTGCTTGACAGTCGTGTCCTTTTTATATGACATAGACATCAGCAAAACAGCTTGTGGTAAAATGACCTTTGATTTTGATACTTAAGAAATATTAAATGAAACAGAACATATTAAATCCAAGTTAGAACCACGGAGATTGAAGAATTGGCTTGTCATGACAATGAGTTTTTTTAAATAAGGAGTTTTTAAGTCCAATGTGATGGTATAGATAGAACAAACTGTTGGAGCCAATGCTCATACCTGAATTTTTGCTTGTGTTTCTCAACTTATTTTCTAAATTTTCAGCAGCTTCAATCATGCCATGAGTGTTGTAGGCTTGAATCATGGTTGCAAAAGTGATATTGTCAGGGATGCATTTTTTCTCTTCCATCACCAAAAACAACTCACCCATCCTTTTCATGTCACCGGCCTGACCGTAAGCATTGATGATACAGTTAAAAAAAGGGGTATCGAGTATCACATCAGAATTCTCCACCTGCCTCAAAATGGAATCAACCTTCTTAATTGACCCAGCTTTAATGTAAGCACTAACAAGAGAACAATAGGTGATAGCATTTGGCTTCATTCCCTTATGCCTCATTTCCTTAAAATATTCCTCCATCTTCTCAATCTTTCCAGCCTTCCCTAATACTTCAATAACAATATTATAAGTAACAACCGTGGGAGAGAAGAACCTTTTCTCCATGAACTTCATGACAGAGCCCATCTTCTCATACATAACTGCTTTCCCAAAAGATTTGATAAGGATGTTGAAAGTTTTAATGTCTGCCCTTATTCCCATAAGCTGAAATTCGTCATACCACTTCTCCATCTTCTCGATCTGCCCACTGTTCCCATAAGACCCAACAATAGAATTGAATGTGAAAATATCCGGAAGGGAATCACCACTTTCAATCATATCTGTCAATAAGCTCTCCATTTCTTCAAACATTTCAGCCTTACCATATCCATCAATAATAGTATTATATGTAACAGTGCTACACCCAATTCCCAAATAAGACATCTCAGCAAGAATTCTTCCAATCAGATCAAAACGGCGGAGCTTCATACAAGAGTTAATAAGAATGGAATAAGAATAGACATCAGGTTTGCAATCCGAGACTGATTTCATATCTTCAACAGTAGTAAAAGCCTTGTCGATGAAGCCACTTTTCCCATATGCATATACAAGAGCGGTATAGACATCAATGGTAGGTTTTAGCCCTTCGGAAAGCATTGTTTCGAATAGCAAACTGGCTTGTTCTGGTTGCTTGCATTTACCAAGCATCATTATCAACTTTGTGTACGTTTGGCATCTAGGCTCGTACCAATGTTGCTTACGTAGAAGTCCAAATATCTATCAAGACGCAAAGAAAAAGTTCTTATCCTTCTTATAATACAAAATTTCAAAGACTCAATCACTTGAAAAGAGAAGATAAAAGACCCAGAAACCTCAAGAGCAGAGTCCCAAGAGTTCTTCTTTATAGCTTCATCAAGAGCCTCCAAAACAGCCTTAGGCCAAAGCCTTTTGCGCTGCTTCTTGGACTTTGCCTTCCTCCCAATACCTTCAATAGCGGCTTCTCTTCTTATAATCTGAGACAATGCGTTCTTGGGATCTCTCTGGAAACCCGTTAGGAAGTGTTCGGAGCTCCGTTTTGATGAATTGACGGTGAAATATTGGGGCTTTGAAAACTGGATGGGTTGTGGGTGGAGTTTTGTCGAACAGGTGGTGGGCGGTGAGGAGACAGAGAGTGACCAGCGCAAGTTAGCGGGGGTCAAGGGAATTCGGTGCATTGCAGGAGCAAAGTGAAAGATAAGAATTGGCAGGATTGGGTTGGATTAGATTGGGCAAAGTATTAACATAAATAAGGATGGAAAGTCAGCCAGCAATCAATGAACCAGGCTTAATCCATGGGCTTAGATTACAGTCCTTCTTTAATGGGTAAGCATGGCCACGGGGCCAAAGCCCATGATTTATATTATTAAAAAAAAAATTAATTAGTCGGTGGAGTTTAAAAGAAATTTTCAATTCAAGATCCCTTTGTTTCAAAATAATTTCTCAAAAAGAATAGTACAAAACAAATAAGCTAGGCTTAGGATAGGCCATCGAAAATACATAAGTTTAAGTATTAAATAATCAATAATCATAAGTCGAGGAATTCCAAAGACTAAGTTTGCTAGATTTATTTGATTATAGTATGTAGGCGTGAAACGTGTAAACAAATAAATACTATTACTATTAATCTAATTTACAAGATTTATTAAAAAATTAATAAACAGGCCACCCTATATTAATCTTATAAATAAATATATTATTTAGACCAAAGAATAATTTTCTTGTTTAATTTTTTTAATGAAATGGCCTTAAAAATGTATTCAATTTCATCATTAAAATCAAAAGATTGTATATGATACAGCCAATTAATCTTTTAATTTTATAGTATAACACTTTTGCAGCACCATAAAGAAGCAACATGCATACTAGCATTCGTCACAGAATGAAAGTCGACGAAATTCACCAATATTTCTTAACCAGAATGGTTCTTTTCCTTCATAGGCAGAGGCTTGGTCTAGTTGGGATGTGTGCCCGTTCATGTACCCTTCCAAAAAAAAAAAAAAATTGGTCTATCCGTTTAAATATATACCTTCTACGATGAAGGAAAATATGCTCATCAGATAACTAAAAAGAGAAGCAATCCAAATTGAGCAAAGAGCTGACAATATATCAGATACAGTCACCAAATTGCATGTTGCCTAGCATGGTCTATCCCTTCAAAAATATACCCTCTACCTGTCACCCCTCCCCGCAAGAATTTCCATTACTTAAGCAAGCAGCAGCTTATTTAGTCCATGCACCATTCCATCACTGGCTCTCTGAAGGTGGTTTTCGGGCCAAGAAGAAATACATAGGCGTAAAAATCTCTTTCCTGAAATCCAAAATCACAGATTATGTCAGCATGTTAATTTACCAATTGAAAAAGAAGATGTTGCCCGATTTCTGTTTTTCTATAAAAGGTTTCTATAGGCCTCTCCTTTCAAGCTACAACATAGGGGTAAAACAACATGCACAAGTAATCATGGAGAAATACAACTTCTAACTCACCTGCCACCTTCAACCAACCCTTCTGCAGCCTTCTCCAGAAAATCTTGAACCCTTTGACTTCCCCTTGGAGCAATTCCCACAAATTCTAGAGCCTTGACCTATAAAGGGGAAAAATTACTGGTAAACACTTACAAACTTAATATGACCATCTCATTGAAGTACATCATTTTTTTATGAAGAGTATCATGAGAATGGAGGGTTGTTTGGAAGCTTTTACCATATTTTTAGTGATAAAGCGTCCGATAGCTGTTAGACGGAAGCTACTCAATGAGAAGTGGTTTTTATCTAAAGGCAAGTACCAAGGGACAGGAGAGTCAACAGCTAAATCCTTCTCCCATATGACCTAGAAGACAAAATGAAAATAATTAACTCTACAAACTACAATGGTCATATTCCCTCTCCAATTAAAAAGTAAAAGGGAGGGGGAAGAGAAAAATATAACACCTCAAAACCAGCCTGTTTTAGAGCTTCCAGGCACTGTCTAGTCGACCTGATGTCTGGAAGACCATCACCAATCTCAATTTCTGCCTGTATAAATAAAGCTTTCATGTAAGATCAACTCATGAATACACAATAAACAAAGTAGCATTTTCACGGTCTTTAGATGCCAACCTTAATTTTCTGATGTTGCTGGTTACTTGGATCAAAAGAATCAGTCATGCACCACTCATACGCAGCAAAACACTGACCAGGCTTTAGTACTCTGTAAATCTCCTTGTAGCATCCATACTACACACAATAGAACTAACAGTCAATCTGATAAATTGGTGTAACATGAAAGCAATTAAAACCAAAACAAAGCAATATATGATGGAAACTTCGTAATCAGTTCCAGCCAAGATGAAAATGATCATGATTGAGATGGGGAAATTTTAAATTGACATACAGCATCTGGTGCATGGCAGGTAGCTTCAATAGCATAAACTGCGTCAAAGCTGCTCTCAGGAAATGGCATATTCATAAAGTCAGCCTACATTAGAGAACAACAATAAGAAAATCAGTGATACCTCTTTTCTGCATCTTAAAGCACTTTCTTGCATGCTAGTGTGGAAATTTTTAAAACAAGCAGAGAATAATAAAAGACCTAATCAAAACTTGGGTTCAATAACAATAAACCAACTTGACATAGCATACCAACCTTCACAAAGTTGCAAGTCTTGTCCACTCCAGCAATGCGGTTTAATTCCTGCAAAAAATCATCTTTTTAATAAAAAAACTTACAGTGGCTGAACCAAAAATTGGACACAAAATGAAATAGAGGTAGGGCTGGCCATCAACCATATTACCATGATCCATCACTATTTAAAGAACAACTTGAGAAGTTGTACTTAAAATATTCGCATGATATTAGTCATAAAGAAACATTTGTATTCACCCAAAGTGACCAATAATAAATTCCAAAGACCAAAAAATTTACAATCAGAGCCGAGGTTGTTAAAAGAAACAAAGAAAAGACAGAAAGAGAACATCACTATCTGCTGCATATGCATAAATATATCTAAGAATGAAGCAATATGCACCTTCCCTCTTGCTATTTGATATTCATTGTTGTTCAACCCTGTAACTGATGTGGAGCTGCACCAAATTACCAGACAAACACAATTTAGAGTCCTCCTTCAGGAAGTTTTTTTTTTTTTTTTTTTTACTAATAAAATGAACTATTCAAAAACATATCATGATTTTATACATAAAATGTATTGCTGAAAATACCATGCCATCTTATGGCACAGGGCCATGCTTCAACCACAGGTATGAAGCACCATAAGAAGTTAGCTGACAAGATAATTGCAACACTTTTTCCCTCTAATTGGACTTATTTCTTTATTCAACCAAAAGAATTAACAAAAAGTACAGGTTCAACAAAAAACAAAAACTAAGGTCAGATGACTCTAGTCTATACACTCATCCACACACACAAAAAAGCAGCCATGAAAACTAGCCTAATCAACAATATAAGCCACAAAAATGATAACCAATGAAAAAGGAAAAAAGGATGAAAGAAACAAAGGAGGTTCTAAAACAAACTGCTATTTACCTAAATCGAGCAATTTCTCTTAGTGGTCCACCAATTCCACATCCAACATCCAACACCTAATATTAAAAATAAAAGCTCAAGTTGAAAATTCAAACGAAATAGAAAACAGCAAAGTTAGAATTACAATTTCTCTGCACTCTATAGAAGTGGAAGAACCTTGTGTCCAGGCTTCAAGCCAAGCTGTAAAGCAAGAAAATGTTCATGACGCTTTATGCTTTCTCGAAGAGACTCCCCATTCCATCTGAAAAAACAAATTTTAGGATAACGATCAGCAGTGACTTGAAAAAGTAACTGTACCATCTCGATTGCACATACAAGATAGAAGAGAATGAATGATACCTGGCAGCAAAATGGAAAGATTCCCCCCATCCAAACTCATAAAAGCTGGTAACTAGATCATAGTATTTGTTAACCTGAATTCAGAACATCATATGAATGTTTGCATTTGTAATCAAGTCCAATTTAGCCTTATCGGTGCAGAAAAGCCGCAAGTGAGCACGAGAACAAGACAAAATGGCAGGTACCAGGTCATCTTATAGCCTAATGAAAATTGACAACTGAATGTGCCAGTGCAAGTAATACAAAGTAAACAAACAAGAAAAATTGACAAAAAGACAAATAATCCATAACTAATAGAAAAAAGTTCAAAATAATCTAGAGTAAGGAATCATGTAGCAGGGTGGAAGGATCATTGTGCACAAGATTGGAAAATAGAGCACTTCTTACCATGTCAGTGTAGTTGGCTTTTCTCTCTTCCTCCTCACCTCCATGAAAGACATGATATTGCTCATACCTGAATCATTAACATAATCTTATATGACAGTTCAAAAACAGTTGCAAAAATTTCAGGAGTCAAAGACAGAAGTTTAAGTGATCATGCATACCATGCAAGGATAAGCAGTAAGATTTCAAATAAACTACCCAATTGTCACTGTGCAGCAGAAGATCATGTTTGGTATGCAGTAGCAAGGGCACATATGTTAAGTTTTATTTGTTTAATGATTTACAAAATATTTTGATGATGTAGTATGGCAGTCTTCGACTCAATTTCACTACACGACTCTTCATTTGGGACTTGGGACATCTTTTCATGCTTACAATATTGTTTTTAGAGTAAAACAGCAAAAAGTTCAATCCTCTTTTTGCTTGTTAAGAGACTGGATCCAGAGAAACCTAGTACAAATATAGACATTTATGATGATAAATGAAATTCTGAACTTCTTTCAGAGTTTATCAAGCGGCAGTTTTCATGAATAGGCCCGTCAGATTCGTTTTTCTTCTTTTTTGAAGATCGAATTTATTACAGCCACCACATAAACCAAAGGGATTGTCATAACAAAATCCCAACCATGTATTTATTTCTCTCCCAGTATTACAGTAACACCCCAAAGTAAGTAGGGTGATGCAATTAATCTTAGCCTTTGGCTTCTTATGGACAAATCTAACTTCTTGTGACTAGCAATTCAAGAAATATAAAACTTTTAAGTAAATAGCTGCATACACTAACAATAACATCAGAAACATCCTTAGTACAATTATACACATAGCTTTGCCTATGTTGTCATTAATTGTTAACCAAGCCTAAGCCCCCCACCCCCCATAAAAGGGGAGCCTAAAACTGTAATTACACAGAGTGAACATCAATTTGAAAAACGGGGAAAACGAATTCATGTCGCAGTCCAGTTTACTTCAAGATTAATGCTTAACTGACTTATATAGTTGGCCTGTATATAAACTAGTAATAGCACAAACAATTTTTTATAAGATTGATCGAGGAAAAAAGGTTGGCCCGGGAATAGATTTCCTGAAGAATTCAATAGTGATCTGACCCACCAGCAGGCTCCATGATAAAGAAACAAATAATGAAACAGGTAAAAGTCATGACCAGTCCATGTTCCACACGGTTATATTTAATTCCTTAATAATATAGCCAAAATTATAAGGTATAGAGTCACTTGTGAGTAAAAGAGAAACACGCATATGTCATTTTTTGATTGTTTCAGCGTTACCCAGAATTTGAAGAATCTTATATTTGAGAGACGAAGATTAACTTAGTGTTCACATAATAAAAATAGATCGATCTCAAAGTCAAGTCATCTGAGACAGACAGAGAGAGAGAGAGAGAGAGAGGATAAGCTAAAAATCAAAGATTAAGTGGGAAATAGACATTTAAGCATTGTAGTTAAGGGACAGATATCCAAGTCCAAGCTTAATCTAGAGAGAAAAAAGATGCACAAAAAGGGAGGGATCTAGGGAATAATAAGCCGTAAAGAAAAAAAAGAAAGAGAATTAGAGCAACATTATAAAGACAGAATAAAAAACTAAGAAAAGAAAAAAGGAGATGAATACTTTTCAACTGCAGAAAGGACTTGGGTTTTGTCAATCTTGCCACCCAGACCTGAGGCCAGATCCAATGCACCAGTCTTCGACATTCTTTGCTAACACCAATCAAAGCAAATCTAAATCCTGTTTTTGCTTCTTTTTTTTTTTCTTTTAAAAAAAAAACAACAAAAGAAAACGAAACAAAGAACAAAGTTATTTAAGATTCCATCAAGGCTTTTGGATTCTTAACAAATGAAAGCAGTTGAATGAAAAATACAACGTAGACTATCTGTGCGCGGTTTCCGTAGAGCGGAGGATGTAAAGAAGGAAAGTTAAGAGGGAAACAAAGCAAAAAGCCAAGCAAATACAAGCTGGAAACACACCAATTTTCGCAAGGAGTAAAATACGAAAACAACGCCTGCCAGTGGTATCTGCCAATGAGGCTGAGACGAGAGAGAAAAAAATTAAAAGGAATGTTGGTGTTTTATGATTGTACGAAAATACCCATTGTGGTAATCTACAATATAGGCATCGTAGAGCCAGCGGCAGGGGGCAGGGTGCATTTGTGCACAAATACCAACTTCTGACGGACGCCGGAGATCCTGTCTTCTTTCCAAATATTAGTATTTACTCAAATTAAATGCTACTATAATAACCATAATCTTCTAAATTTAAGAAAAAAGATACTCACTTTCTTCTTAAATTAACTATTTGTTTTAGCCAACGAAGCATTACTTTTAGATATGCTTTAGTTTATTAATTGATTATTAAATAATTATAATTTGAATATGATATAATAATTTATTATTTAATTGATTATATAAATATAATTATTAATAATTATAAATTTTTTTATTTATAATTTTAAAAAAAATTTCATTTTAAGATAAATTATGTTAATTTTTATTTAATGTTATTTCAATATTTCATATACAAAATATATCACTAATAATATTATATTATAATTAATTAATTATAAATATAAATTTTATATAAAATTTATATTTTTAAATAATATATTTTATATTATTTTTATTATAATTGAATAATTATAACATTCTTCTTAAAAAACTACATGTTTAAATTATTTACATATTCAAAATATATGTAACATACAAATAATATAATTAAAATATGAAATTATAATAAAAATAAGGTTTTCTTTTTAAATTCTAAGCTATAAGGAATTCTCTATTTTCATAATTGTAAAGTTATAATAAGATTCATATCTTTTTTTTTAAGAATTTTGGTGAAATCCTTTATGGTTTTGAGGTTTTTTTTTTTAAGAATTTGTATAGTAAGGATAAACTAATAAAAAAGAAAAACTAAATTAATAGTAAGAAAAAATATGTTTAACTCAATGGGATATTGAAAAAGTTATATAACTAAGAATTACCAATAATAAAAGGTTTTTTGAAATTGTTCTGATATTTATATATATTTTTTTCACATTTCCTTCGTAAAACATATTTAAAAGTTGAAGATAATGCAATGATTATTTATAAAAAATATTAAAGATATTAAATAATATTTTTAAAAATTACAATAAATTTAAATACTCATGTTAACTATAAAAAAATTGAAAAAGATAAATTACTTTAAAATTAATTTTAAATTGAAATAAAGTGATATATCGGAGAAACACTTGATAGACAAAACAAACTTTCCTTAAGTTGTTTTGGTATTTATGTATATATTTTTTATATTTTATTTGTGAAATATATTTAAAAACTAAATATAATGTAAGGATTATTTATCAAAAAATATTAAATATATTAAATAATATTTTTTAAAATTGTAATAAATTTTAATACTCGTGTTAATTTTAGATAAATTGAAAAATATAAATTACTTTAAAATTAGTTTTAAATTGAGATGAGATGATGTACAGAATAAAAAAAATTTCATTAAAATTTAAATTAATTTTTTATTAAATTTAAATTTTAAATAATTTAATAAATTTAAAAAATATTTTTATAAATAATTTTAAATTAATAAATATCTTATATATCATCAAAATGAAAAATTTTAAAAATTATTTTATGTGAAAAAAAATTATCTACGTAAACTTTTACATCAGTAATTATTATCTGATAATTATGTATATTGTAATATATATATATATATATATATTTCATAAATCCTTAATTATAAAATGTCTCTCGGGAATTATTTGCTTTTAGATGTCGTTAACATGCCAGAAAATAAAATTTAGAGTAACGACAAATTCCAACCCATGCTCTTGAGTGACACCTTTTTAATAGGTGTGTTTTTGCTAACCCAACATAATATTAATACTATATAAGAAAATGAAAAACAATTTTAGTCTTAAAAAGTATAGTTGATATTATTTGCGAAAGTGTGTAATATGCTTATCTTTTAATTTTAGTCTGTGGAATTTAATATTCAATGACCTTAAATATAAAAGAAGACAAAATAAAAGAGCCATGTGCAGGCCATGTGTCAAGTTTTAAATTGGGCCGGGGCCCAAAATCTAATGGACAGAACGATTATAAGCCACCCAAACAGCACACGTGTGAAATATCCGCCGAAGGGTATCAGGCTTTTTCTCATATGCTTCCCCTTCCAAAGTCCAAATAAAAAGAAGAAAAGGAAAACGAATAGCTTCAAATTCCATCCTTGTTACTAGTCGTACCAAACCTCAATTGGGTATATTTTTCTCCACTACTTTTTCTCTCTAATTACTTCATTTGAATAATTAGATCTATTCTTTCCGGTGTTCGCTGTATTTTAAGTAATGTTCTTGATCATTTTGTTGATTCTAATGATATTTAACCCTTGATCGCTTTTTCACTTTTTTTTTTATATGAATTTAATTAATCAGTAAATGAGATGAGATGAGATGAGATGAGAGCGTTTCAAAATCTAGTTTCTGTGAATGGGCGTGGTTTTAGTTTCCAAGTCAAAATGGAATACTAATCGTGAATTGAGAACTCGGAATCTGAGTTGATGCTGGCGATTTATTTGCTTATTTATTGTTTTGAATAATCCGAGTTATTATTTATCTTATTTCCATATTATAATTGGATGATGAAAATTTGTTGTAGAAGCTAAGTTTTTTGAGCCATTTTCTTTTAATTAGAAACTGGATTTGAATATTTGGAAGCAAAGTTAAGCGTAGGGCATTTCTTTTATTGAAAATTAAGCTTGAAAAATTGGAGTTCAAGCGAAACATATTAATTTATTCACTCAAACTTGGAGCTAAAATTAAGCCCCCTTGCTTGGAACAGATCTAAAAAAATTGGGAGTCCAGTTTATATTGTGCCTTCACCAATGCAATTAGTGTAAAGTTTGTTTATGTGCTCTAAATGAGACTAAGTTGATGCAACGTATTTTATGGGTGGTAAAATCATGAGTCAATTTATGTAATCATTTTATCTTCCTAAGCTAAATTATTAGCTTGAAGCTAGCTGTTTTTTACGTGTTTATTGTAATCATGTGTTGTATAAAAGATTGTCTTTGTGTGTGCATTTATCTTCTTCTCCCTAACCTAAGTTCCAATCTTTTAGTTTGTAATTTGTTGCCTTAATTTGTTTAGTGGATGCCATTCTTATATCATTATTTTGTGACATTTCTCTGATTATATAATTACAGATGGTGTAAAAAAAGAGCCGCTATAATTGTATACCTGAAGAGGAACTGTTGCCTGGCTTAGTTTGAAAATTTTGAAATTGTCTTCTTCACAGCATGGACGATAACAACAATGACAATGATTTTACCTTTTGTCAGGCAAGTTAAAGTTCTACAGTCTTCATGAGCTTAAACTTTAGCTTTCTGATTGGGTGTCTTGACTTAATAAATCAAGAATAATCTGTATTATTCTTTTGTACTGTTGAAATAAACTTGACTGCTGGATACTTTTTCATTTTTTCTCAGAATAGTTAACTCAAAGTTATGGTTTTTGATTTAGGTTGGCTTACCTACTGATCAAAATTGTGTGGAGGCAAAGAATCTTGCAGCTGATATTTGTGGTCTTACCTTTAAAGATGAATTCTCAAACAGCAGTGATAGCAGTAAAAATGGTGGTTTTCCCTGGAAAGATAAACAGCTAAATAATGCCACATTAGGAAATCAGGCTACTGTTGGTTCTTTGACTTTCAATGTTATTGATGCATCATATCTGAAACCATCTGGTGAATCATCAAAACAATTAACATTGGGAGATGTGGGTGCTCCAGCCAAAAATGCAGAAAAACCAAAAATTTCTACTAGAAAACCTGCCCCTCGGACCAAGGTTCCTTTTGAGAAGGGATATAGTCAAATGGACTGGCTTAAGCTTACTCAAACGCATCCTGACCTTGCAGGTATGTTGTGTTCCTTCCTAAGACTTTTTAGCATTTATCACACACGCTCCTTTGAAATTGTAATGTCAACTTCATCTTTCTTCCATGTTTCGCCATAAATTGTGTGTTTCAGGACTGAAAGGGCAGTCAAATAGGAGGCTTATTTCAATGAGTGAAGTTAAGCAAAATCAAGCAGAAGGTTCCATGTGGACTGTTTTGAAAGGACGTGTCTACAATATATCTCCATACATGAAGTTTCACCCTGGAGGTAGGGAAATGATTTTTCACTGTAGAAGTTTTAACCTTTGGCTGAATGAACTCTCTATTCTTTGATAAATTTGTAGTATTGTTAGATTTATTTAGCCCAATTCAATAATCTGCATTTCTCTTAAAGGTTTCAGTTCATGCACATGCACATTTATTATTTTCTTGAAGTCTATATGCTGTTTCAATCATGTGCTTCTAGCTTTTAAAGTATAGGGATGTGACATTTATCTGAAGATTTATCTTCTTCTTAACTCTATAGTTTGAAAAGTTAATTCCTTTTTTATTTTTAATTTTCTTGCTTTGGTTTTCGATTAACATGCATCTCTGTTTAATGTTAAACATTACTTTACAATGGATCATAATCATACAAGAGATCCATCAAATTGTCTGTTTTTTTTTTTTTTTCGTATAAAAATTTCGTTCTTAAATGTCTTTCTCTTTTTGCCTTTGTGTTTAAAGGCAACTATAGTGGAACCATGAAGATAATGTTTCTAAGAGAAGTAGAAACCTATCTAATTAAAGTCACTGTTGATTTTGGTGATACCCTTGTGTTAACTCAACTAACCTTCATTCTGACTCATTTGGTTTAGGTCTGTGATACTTCTTGATGCTGAGTTCCAGAAGAGATTCAGGAAATTTATTGTTGTTGAGGGTCTCTTATTGAACATCTTTTCCCCTTAAATTTGAATGTTTACCTTGAAGTTTCTAGTTAAGCATAGCATGCTATGATTGAAGAACACTGTTAAGCATGGTGGAATCAATTAGCTATATGGTGTTGTCATATATTTTTATATATTTTTTATAATTTTATCCATGAATGTTTAGTGTTATAATAGATATATTTTCTAGAAAGGCTTGTTAATATTAACCTATTTTGACAATATCATTTTTCTCAGGTGTTGATATGCTCATGAAGGCAGTGGGAAAAGACTGCACATCTTTATTCAGTATCCTTTTTCTTTGAATTTATTTGTTTTTGGTTGGACGCCCAGGTAATGACAAAACCTTATACATGTTTTTCAGCCCAAATATTGTACTTAATTTGTATGTAACATTTCAAATTGACATTTTTAAGTTAGGACTTTTTTCAATTAGGCACTGTGTTAATAGATGCCCATACTAATTTGAGATGTTGGGCAAACCATACTTAAGACATATAAGAACCGATATAAATGTCTCAAATGTTTTTCAATGGTGCCTTGAACAAAGGATTCTTGGTGAAAGGATACGCTGATTTTTCCTTGTCTTTAAAATGATGGGGCAGCCCTTAACCTGTGTTTTAGACAAATACCATGCTTGGGTAAACGCTGAATTCTTACTGGAAAAATGTCTGGTGGGTACCTTTAATGATGGTGAAGGAAGCAACAGATGATAAAAACTGCTTCTTGGGACTAAGCTTTATCGCAGCTGCCAGGAAGGATTCCGATGATTTTTCTTTTACTTAGTGCAGGTAGAGGATGCAATCATATCCGTGGCTGTAGGACTAATCAAATCATTTAATTTTATACATCTGATTTTGTACAAGATATGATGAATGGAATAAAGTTATACATTTATACACATTGTGCAAGAATAATATACACTAATATGTAAGGAATCATATTTTAGTGTTGATTTGGTGACCGATTGGAACTCAATTTTCAAGTTGAATGAAGAATTCTGTTTGATGTTGATATCACCTTCTGAGGATCTAACTTGCATTCATAAATGTGTTTTTTTTATTTCATCAAAGTCCCAGCCGAGATATGGGTTTATGTCACCGGCTGAAAATGGTTGTGAATCTATCACGTAATCATAAGCTGTTATGAGAAGGAATATATGCATATGTGAAACTTGCCAGTCCTAGGCCTCCCCCCTTAATTTCTCCTTTCAAAATTCCAATCTGATATTTTCAGTAGTGCCTTTGCTAATCTATTTTGAAGGAACTGAACTTTTCCGACGTACCTAAACAGTTCTACTATCTGCATTTAAGCTAAACCAGAATCTTTGGCAAGGCAGCTAACGTGGAAATAATTTTAGATGTATGATGTATATACCTACATTTCCAGTAACTAGTCATGGAGGAGGCCTCTCTGTCTCTGAGTGCCGATGTCGTTGGATGACCAAGATGGAACCACTGATATTCATTTCCCAAGATGCCAAGAGATCCCCAACCAACCCAAGCTCTGGACACTCCTCCCAATCGCTCAGACCGTCAAGGGGCAGCTCCCTCGCCATCCCTTCCCTACTATGAACACTGAATACACGTCCGCAATTTCTCTTAGAGCAGCTAATGTCTCCAGCCCATCGCTCACATACTTATCAACGAAACTGGCTTTTCCCTGTGCCACATACCTAGTCAAAAAACTATTTTGTCATGACCAATTGCTGAAGAAAAGGGCATGCAAAATTTAATCTATGGTAATTGACCTGCTATAAAAGGTCTCCACAAAGGCATTGTCTATCTCGTTCTCTGTCCCGACATTTGATATTGCAATGATGATCTCCTCATCCTTACGGGACGCATCGTTAATCCATGAATTGTGTCTACATGGCGTTGTTGGTAAGAAGCGGATGACACTCAAACTAACTTGACTGTGCATAGAAATTCTTTTGCTACATGCTAAAGCCTCTCGATTATCAGGGCCACCGAAGAACAATGTTGCTATATTTTGCACGGATGGAAAGCCATGCGGTTGTTGGAACCCAGTTTGTCCTCGGTCCCCAAAGATACCTACTGAACATGAGACATGGCGAATAACCTTCTGGTTTATAGTCCTTATTTCCTCCATGCTGTTTTCCATTTTCCCATCAATTCTTTGTTGCTTGTGAAACGGAAGGAATATAATAGAGACGCGCAAATCCTCAGCATCATTGCACAGATCTTCGTTTATGGTTAGAAAGGATGATACGAGTTTACTTTGGTGGATCAAAATTTTGGTCTCTGAAGTGAATGAGTCAACAGCATCATTGATCTCTAGCACATCGTTTCCACCATACTCTTCTTCATCACTGAATTGATCACCATCTTCCAGTTGGTGGTACATCAATTTGCTTTTCCTTTTCTTTGGAAGATCCACTAGATGCACCATGTTTGGCTTGATGGGTGCATTTGGACAGCCACCTAATGCTGAAATGAGGCTAACATGCCCTAAAACATGGCGTGGGACATATACACAAGCTAGCATTCGGAGCTCACTCTTTGGATTAAGTATTTCGACTGTGGTGGGATACTGCGCACAAGACTCTTCTCTGTTCAATAAAATGGCAACTAATGGCCCTATGATCAATGTGTTAAGCACTACTACTGTCAAAAGAAAATTGTGAACATCTGTAGTCCAGACAATCTGCAACAATTAACAAACCAAACGGAACCAAAAATCAGCATTGACGAAAGCAAAGATGGCTTCCCCCCCCCCCCCCCACCCCCCATTTTAAAGCACTACTTGTGATCAAGAGTAGTTAAGACCAATTTGCCTGCAAAACTCTTGTTCCTTTCGTCAACAGCAACCTTTCTACTCGTCTATAATAACGACTCAATTGGAACTTGAATTTCTAGATTAAACTTAACTGCAGAGTAAGATACAGCTGTAGATTTCAGCGTACAATGATCTGATTAACACCTTAATGTTGCCATCTATATGCATAATAAACATGTAAAATGCAAATGCATACATCAGAAGAAACTTACTTTGGGCACTGGGGCTGTATTAATGAGTATAAGGTCGTAGTTGCCTTTCCAATTGAGTAAGAAGGCAAGGATCAGAGACTCGTTCCATGGGATCTTTAGGTAATGACAAGCTGCAAGGGTGCCGACAATTCTAGTTCCAGCGCTCACCGTGATCATAAGGACAGTGAGGAGAGTCAATTTATTAAAAATAGCGCTTAGATCAAATTGGAATCCTGTGTAGCCGAAGTACACGGGCAGAATGAAGGTGTTTACAGTGTAACTGAGTTTGTGCAACAATGTCCGAGCCGTTTTGCCCTCCCTAGGGAACATCAGGCCGCCCAGGAAACAACTGGTAATAGTTGTGTGGCCAATCCATTCCGCAAATAACGTGAGACTTGCAAGAAGAAATATAATAACAAAAACTTGGCTGTTTGTAACGAATCTATTCTTCCGGCTCCTTTGGTTGAAAAAATATGATAGATACTTGTTCACGATGATCAGAGCCACAGTAACAAGAGAAACAAGGATTGCACTTCCAAATCTAGGAAAGGAGGTGAATGCTGTAAGCGTACCAACGACTGCTACACAAGACATTTCATTGATCAAGGAAGAATGAATTGCCATTCGCCCTAAATCAGCGGTGTCAAACTTTGATTCTGCAATCACCCGAATTACTATAGGAGAGGCTGAATTTGCTAAGACTGTCAAGATAAGAAGGAAAAATGCAAAGCGCTCCTTAGTGACTCTGAATACCTTGCTAAGCTACCAGAAGAGAGGTTCACCAAAGATGCAAGCCAGGATTGAACCCCCTCCTACAACGATACTTACAGCACGAATGTTGCGCTTTAAATAAGGAATATCTGTTTCCAAGCCAATCGAGAACATAAAAAGCATTCGACAAATGAATGAAAAAAACTAATGGTACTTTACAGAAGAAGCCCGAAAGAAAAAATTTTCAACCCTGTTTATACGGGACAACAATGTGGGCCCTACCACAACAACAGCCTGATAAAAAAGACATTCAACAACATAGATAAATATGCATTTTAGAATATTTTAGATTTTCCAAGATAGATGTGAATGCTTACAAGAACTTGTGCAAAAGGTCCAGGTTGCCCCAAGGGCTTCAAGAGAAGGTGAAAGATATGAGAAATCACAAGAATGCAGGAGGCCCGAAAGCTTGTTGTGGTCAGGGGGTTAAATGCGTCCACCGGTTGACACACTAACTGTTTTGTTGCCTCCATCTTTTTAAGAATGACAATTGCTGGTCAAGTAAGTTGAAAACAGAAATACGTTGTCGGAGGCAATTGATGAAACGTAAACTGTGATAACTCTCTTCTTTCTTTCTTCCCCTTCCTCTCCTTGGAAACCTCAACCCCCTCCCTCTCTCTGTGTATCCTTTGCTTTCTGATGGAGGACCTTTGTTCCCGGAGATTTGGTCATACAAAGCCGGAGTGCTGTTGACTTTTTTTCACTTTCTGTTTCCTTTATAACAAAACAGAATCCTTCCATCCACCTATCTAAAATTTAGCTCATTTTCTGTGACTTAACCTACTACGCCCCATCAACATCAAGCTTAATTCATTTTATAACCACCAATAATTCATTATAATCTACTCATCTCAAAGCCTCTTCCAGGCTTTAACTTCACATTAGGCAAACAAACTCATTTGAAGCTTTTTTCCTCCCCTTGCATTGGAAATGGAAAAATTAATACATCTGAGGCTATTGACACCTTAAGTTGGTGCCTTGGTCCGTTGTTGATAGAGTAAATTGGTCATATATTCTCCTTGGTAACGACATGTAAATCTACTTAGACCAAATTGGTATGCCATCTAGGACCTTTAGGCTCCAGCAATTTGGCATTAGATGCTCTTCGTTATCTACATACAATTGTTCTAATCGCCAATAGTCATCAATCAGGCGGTCTATCTTTATCAGCCAACTGTTGTATAAAATTCTAGTATAACTAACTACATTATCAAGATACTGCACAAGACGCCAAGCTAAGGATCAAAGAAAACAGTTGATCATGCCATTTGAGGGAACCGGGAATGTTTCGGGAGGCATTTGTAGTACTCATAAAATCCTGTGGCTTTGCTCTGCTTGGCCTGTAAGCAAAACAAGCAGGCTTAAATGCTATTCAGCCATTGCATCTTCTGGCAGTAAAAAACTTGAATTATAAACTGTCTCAGACGCCATTGGCTCTTAGGATAGTTAAGACATAACGGCGTTTTGCGTCCCTGTACATATTCTGGTTAGAATTGGAGAAGAACAGAATCTAGATTGCAAGTTAACTAAAATTTAAAAAACCTAGGGAGACCTTGAATCATAATGTATGCACATTATAGAACAAAAACAGTTCTAAGTGAAATCGAAGAACCAGTCAATTAGCAAATTACATGGCAAGGTTTCGCCTTGTGGTTTCCATTTTCAACAAAAGATCTTTAATATCTGCTTCCATTCTTGTCTTCATACCATGGTATTCCTTGTAAGCTCTGTCTAGAGCTTGGAATTCTTCAAACTTTTGTTTACGCATTTCTTCAGCCTCAACCAAGCGTAATTTTGTCATTCTACTCACATACTCTTCTTCAATCTTTTCATTCTTTGCAATTGCAATTCGTTTGAGGTCTTCAGCTTCTCTTCTTGCATCATCAGCACGTGTTTGGTACATTTTGGTCTCCTCCTGTTTGATTCTTATGAAGCTCTCCAGTTCAGGCAAAAATGATTGCTTTTGAGCACTCCTCTGCAACTCCGACTCCAAAAGGCGTTTGTCATACTGGTTGGTTCGGTCAACAATGAAACTAGGAAGCACGCTAGATGAACTTTCCAATTTAGGAGCTTTATCAGAATAAACAGATTTGAGCCACGTGGTGTTCTGATTTGGCTCATCTATCCCATTGATTCCTTTGCCTTGTTCTTGTCCAGACAAAACAGTTGTATTGCCAGGCTTGGTAGAATCACTATCTGCGATCAGAATAGAGGATTTGAGTTGTTTGTTCAAAAGGCATTTAATATCATAATAGTTGAATTCCAGTGCACTAATCAGAATAATTTAGGACTATAATGAAACAATTTATATCTGTTTTATAGATGGATTTTGCTAAAAATTGCCCTAAGGTGCTATTCATAGAATAATTTACAACTATAATGAAACGACTTATATCTGTTTTATAGATAAATTCTGCTAACAATTGCCCTAAGGTGCTATTCATAGTAATTTTCTTGCACTAAATGAAGTGGTTGAAAACTTGAAATTAATATGCTATTTTAAAAAAAAATGATCATAACGCAGCATACTCTGAATAAAATTCAAAATAATGTTAATATCTAATCAATTAATTAGGGTCACCAGGATTTTATTGGGCCATTGCAAAAGAACAAAAAATTAACACATCAAATGAAGATTTCGTTTGTCTCCACCAGCACCAGTGCTGGGGAAGTGCAGAATGGAGTCATTCAGTAAAGAGTTTCTCAACTGTGCATATCCTACATAAAACAAACCACAACTTTGCAGAAACAAGTTCTCACAAGTATGACAGTTAGCTTTCCATCAACCAACATCTGGAAAAACATATAGCAAAGCCATATATGCAATGAAAACTTTAAATCAATCTCATATGATCCAGGAAATGTTTATAAACATTCTCGAGAGAACAAAACTTCATTAAGAATAGGCTTGTTAGGGGGAAAGAGTAAACACTGAACTAATTTGAAAATTAATGCATAAACATTTTAACTTGATTAATTATCCAAGAAAAATAGCATGATTCCTCATTGGAAAAAAATAGAAAACAAAAACTTTACCAGTCAGGAAGCTCATTATCTGACTATAAACCTCAGAAAGGTCAGACTTTTTTGCTAATCTAACAAGCATTTGGTTAGCAATTTCATGCAGCAGTTTCCCTCTCACATCTTTGCTTCCAGAAAATATCCTCTTGACATATTCAAGTTCTTTGGAAAAAGTTTGAAGGGTCCATTCCTTCGCAAAATTCTGAAAGACCTCCTTTACAAAGCCAAACATCTCAGAAGGATGATCACAGGCAACACAATGAAACTGCATCTCAGCTGCACCATGTCCATTCCTAATATAAGATTCCCTTAATCCACAATCAGCATGACACCAATGAAGACACACATCACATCCAACCCAACTACAAGTATTGGATGCCATGTCAAATTTTGAACATACAAGACACATACAACCGCTGCAAAAACCATTCTTCTTTGAGCAAACCTTGCAATCACATTCATCCACAGGAATAGAACTCCGACACATAAGATTTCTGCATCTTAAGTTCAGAAAGATCTCGGCCAAATCAGAAGATGAAACACTGTTGTCTACCTGAAGATACTCAGGCAGACCAGTTTTCAGGGCAACCAAGATCTCCAATTGAGGCCGATGTGATTTTAGCAGTGTTTCCAGGGTTAAATCAGATCGGTTCTGAAGGGCCTCCTGAGATGCACGCAGCTGTCCATACTTTTCTGCATTTAACATAATCTTGCGAATGCTCTCTTTTAGACATGCAATTGATTGTCCTGTCATTTCATGAAACTTCCTAGCCATAACATGGATAGGCTCAGAAACCATCCTGTTTATTATTGTCTCAACAAAATCAGCTCCACCTATCAGAAATTGTTTTTGCTCTTTCTGGCTATTGCTCCTATATAAGCTACCACCATGCTTATCTCTGGTGGCTCGTTTCTTCTCAAAGCTGTAATTTGAACTGATTTCATGAGACCCAACGCTCCGTGAAGGGGACCTGACATCATTCTGTTTATGAAAACTTAACTGCCTCTCAATTCCAATAGGCATCTTTGAGCTTCCTTCTAAAGTACGAATATTTTTTGTTTGCACAGCCTGACTATTTGCAATGCCCTGTAATGCTGAAGACTGACCAGAAGAGCCATTGCCATTCATCAAAATTCTCTGAAACATGGGAACGTCCTTATGCCTAGACTCATTCTGAGACTGCCATGCTTCTTGAGAAAATTGGTCAACCCCATGAAATATGGGGCGGCTGTGAACAGATTGTTCATAGTTGTCCATGGAATTCTGAGTCAAAGAACAACTTGGATTATGGTAAAATGACTGGGAACCTGAAAAGGACACGGAAGCAGTTAACCCATCAGAGTTCGTACGAAACGTGTTTGTTAAGGACAGCACACTCCTCCCGTGGCTAGGTGAGCCAGGAACTGCGTCTGTATCTTGAGCACCAATAGGCAACAACACATTTGGTAAACTAAGAGAAAGATCAAGTGATTCCAATGCCATTTTCTCATCTTTATGCTTATCAAAACCTGATTGCTCTGCCTTTTCCACTCTCCTAACAGGAGAGCAAGAGAACAACTCAAAACCCCTACTACTAGGCCCTTCCATATCAAGATCTGCATCTTTCGATTCCCTTTCAATCCATACCCCATTTTCTGCAGAATCGGCAACATTTGTCAATTCAATAGCAATACCTTTCCCTTTATCCTTGAAATTCTGACTCAAACCTATCTCTGCCACATCCATATTTATTTTATGCTCACCATTTTGCTCTGCAACTTCCTTATTAAACTCTGCCGCCTCACATTCCTCAACCTGCATCTCAAGATCAATCCCTTTGTCCTCCTTACAATTCTCTTCCAAATGGGATGACTTCAGCAAAACCGCATCTTTACTACCATCTTCCTCACATTCACCACCAACCTTTACACCTTCTTCCTCCTTTCCGACTTCATCACCATTCACATCATCCATCTTATCCCCACTACCACTAGTTCCACCATTTACACTCTTTCCACAATCTTGCAACTCATCATCTTCCTTCCCCTCACCTTTTCTTTCATTCCCCATCTCCTTATAAACCTCCTCGACATTTGAATTAATTTCACCTCCATCATTCTCCATTTCTCTATGACTATACTCGTTCCCATCATTTTGAATTCCAGCTTCAGGTTCAGGCTGAGGCTCAGGCTCAGCCTGAGGTTCAGGATCAAACTCACCTTCCTCCATCTCACTACTACTGTCACTCTCCACCGGTGTTTCCTCACTCTTCTTCCCCTCCCCACCACCACCAACACTCTTAGACTGCTCACTGCCTGAATCTCTTGACCGTGTTGGCGACATTGACTTAGATTTTGACTTGTAGCTTCTCCTCACATCATCTCTCTCCCTTGATTCCCCAACCACCCTCCCTGCCCCCAAAGAGTCCCTCGACCACGTTGGTGACTTCACATCCGTAACCTCCATCAGTTGCACCTTACTGCTCCATCTATCCTCATCAATTCCAAACCTTCGCCACGAGCTCCCGCTCCCCCTTTCGCGCCGAGTTCGACCCCTTTCTGATCGGAGCCCCTTTGGAAACTCTCTGCGAGGTCCACAGAAGCTCTCCGACCTATGGAGGCTACTACTTCTACTACCACTCTCTCTGTGCCGATCAAACCCTAATTTGCGCCTATCAAAGCTCTCGAAATCATGCTCTGACCGCTTCCGGACCAGTCTCTCCCTTTCCCTCTCCCTGCCGCTATCCTCATCAGCGATGGATCGATCTCGATCATACCGAGACAAAGAAGACGAGATCAAATTGCTTTTAGTGCGGGCGTTGCTATCGGAGGTTGAAGATGGCTTGTAGTAAAAGCCGCTGATACTGCTGCTTCGATGAGACGATGATCGATTTTGATGCTGATTCGATTCTTTGCTCGCATTTTTCCCATAGGAATCGAGATCGTCGCTCGATCTCAACCTTTTCATATTTTTTTGTATATTAAAGGAACAACTTTTTCCTGAAAAAAAGAAAAGAAAAGAAATGATAACAGCGATACAATACAGAGGATAGAAACCCTAATTTTATGGCCAATTGAAGAGAAAAAATTAAAATAAAAATTAAAATAAAAGAGAAAGGGAAGTTAAGAGGGTTTGAATCTGAATACCTGGAGATTTGCCAAAAATTCATGTCGGAGATTTACCAAATCCAAATGCCTCTAAATTTGGCCAAATTTAGGGAAGAATAGTAGTAATAACAAGTAAACCAAGGTTTTAATTAAAAACCTAATTTTTGAGTTTTTGGGGAGAGGGAAGGTTCTAAAATGTTTGTAATTGTGGCCAAATATGGTAATGCATATGTAAAGGCATATTTTGCCTAAAAATAGTAAAAGGGGGAAGGATGTGGAAATGGTATTCGCTGGGATAGACAGGGGTGTGGAAATGGCATTTGAGAGAGTGTTTAATTATTCTCAGTCAAAACGCAGGTTAACTACGCGTTCGTTGGGTTACTCAAAGTGCGAGCGGTGCTTTGGGTTGTGTGCAAGAGGGTTCTGTTCCATTCACCAATCACTCAGATCCCTCCGTCACTTACCACTACTTTCTACGGGGGTAACGTCAAAGAAGTATTGGCATTAATGCAGCATAGGCTGCAGTTTTTGTCTTCCAAATAGCTACACTTGTGGATGTACACAAAAATGGGTACTCGCTAGGTTTTAGCAGACGCGTGTCACGGATTTGGCTTAGCCGGAAACACGTCTGATAATCATAGCGAGTTGTTTCTTCTCTTGATTTAACTTTTTAAAATTTCAATGAATCAAACAGGTGCTCTAGCCACGTAGGAAAGAGAAAATTGGTTTGACTCTTAGAGACGTCATTATAGGATTACCTTGTTGACTCTCTCTATATCTCCCGCCTAATGAAGAAAAATGTTTCATTTTCGAAATAAATTAGCTGATATTAAAAATCAGAGAACCGCACGTGTAAGCTGTGATGGTACAGGTGAGTAAGACGCAGGGGCAAAAGATTATATAATTTTTTATTTCTGATACACATTTGGAATAAATTAATAAATGATACTCGATTTCTTTTTTTTTTTTTATGTAATAAAATATTAGCAGCAAGAGAAAAAAGCGGTTAGCAACTCACCATTGTCGCAGCTGAAAAAGTTCTCATGGGATGGGCCATGACACTTAGAAAAGGCCAGCAGCCCAAAGCCAGCCTAGGCAAGTAAGCAGAGCATGAAATGAATGATGAATTCCGGCCCTCTGTCGGTTGTCCCACTCGGCCAGTCTTATCCCTTCCTTCCCAACTCCAATTTCTAAGGTAAACATTACTTTCCCATGAAAGATATTTTCTTGCATTATATTGACACCGACTGCTTATCTTTTCCCAAAATTTGGGTCAAACAGAGCTGCTTTTTCTGCTTCTCAAAGGCCTCCATGATCAAAACCATCTTGTATACTTCAGGCTTTACATCATTCAAAATTTTCTTTTCATATCAATGGCAACTCTCTCTGTAAACCATTCTTTTTACTGCAAAAATATTTCAGTTGAAGAGCTGAAAAGTAGGAGCAGGAACTGTCCCAGAATTCTCGTCGTTTTATCTTGCCAAAACAATGAACCAATGGAGAGATCAGCATCAATAACAAAGAAAGAAGAGAAGGAGAAGAGGCAATTGTTTTCACAAGCTTTTGCTAGTTTACACAAGTTTGGCAGAGGATTGAAGGAAAATATGAGTCCGCAACAGAAGGGTGACTGGAAGGATTTGATGTTAATGAGTTTGTCATTTGCTGTTTATGTTTATATGTCTCAAAAGATTGTTTGTGCCTACTTTGCTTGGATGTCCATGCCCAAACAATCATGGTAGCCACCTTCAGCATATTCGGTATCCGGTTTCATCATGAAGTTGAAATAGGATGCTGAGAATTAATTACTTTCCTGTTTGTTCATAGCAATTTGGATTCTGCCATGTCCCGTCCTGGAAATAATATAGTACTATTTTTATTTAGGTTCGTTTGGTAGTTGATACTGTAATTCAATGACTGAATACGCCTCCACGGTTCAATTGCGTTTGTGTGATTAATTATGAAAATCTAATTTTAAAGATCAAAATAGAAACCACATTCCATAAAGCAAAATAGGGCAATTTCAAATGCCAATTACAGAGATGACAGCTCTCCCGAGAAGAATGACAAGAAAAATAAACTATATCTGTATGAAAACGAGCTTAAGTGCAGCAATACAGGCAATTTTATTTCGAGCTTTTAACATTAGGCAGAAGATTATTCCATGCACATAAACCCATACATTGTGAACTACAGAAATGCATGTTATAGACACAGAAACCTTTAGCACTTGGTAGAGTCATCTACAAGAACATCTAAGATGCCAAAACAGAAAGCCACCTAGAACATTTCCAATAACCAGTAAATAATTCAAAGCTTTAATTTGAGTATTCATTTTTGGAAATCAGAGCTTAAACAGCTTTGAAAATGCGATAGAATAGTGACAGAAACCATTGCAACAACAGGATTAGCCAATTAGTTCTCTTGGGTTTAGGTTCAGCCATTCAGGTGTTGGTCCAAAAACTCCTTTATAAACCTCTTTTTGCCCCTGGTATCTAGCCTTTTCATGTTCTGCAAGCAAGCGCAACTCCCTGGCAATCGCTTTTTCTCCAGTCAGGAACATATTTGCGAGCCTTTAGATAGTCATCACGTGCAGCATCTGTTTGCCCGAGTTCTGCTCTGGTCTTTCCACGTCTGAACATAGCTTTCACATTATTTTCATCCTCTGATAATACCTGAGAGCCAAACGAGGTTCTTGTTAAAATACCTAAGATTATCATGTCCACACAGAAGAGAATCATCACATCTCATGCAGGTGAAATTCCAATTCAAGGGGTGGGAATTTCAATCGAAGTGTCCAATAGAAACAGTATACAAGCTGCCCGCTTCATAACAAAGTTCAGGATTGAGACATAAAAGACCTAAAAGTCACTGCTTAGTTCTTGGAAGTATGAAAGAAAAAAAGACAAAATATCAGCAATCTTATTCACACTGATTCTTTCCAAGAAATAAACTACGCCCATACAGGTTAAATCCCTTTCTTCTTGGGTAACCAGCAAAACCAAGAATCAAATGAAGACAATTACAAAGGTTGTTTTTTCAAGATTTCCAGATATACATTTACATGGCTGCAATATTACAGATCAGCAAACCTTCAGAAACCATTTAAATAGAAAAGTGATGCTCTCAGCTGGAATGTACACTTACAATGGAGCAGGGTCCAATGGCTTCTTCGTAGCGCCTGAAGTTTGTCAGTGTTGTATGACAACATATGATTGTGTGTGTGTGTGTATCTAAAATTTGGAATATTGAATGCTTTCTTCTCTTGTGATTATTCAAATAGCGTTCGGAGATTGGCTTTGGCAAAGTGAGGCTTTGACAACAGAATTCGAAGATGGCAGGAGAGCTTAGCTGGGCTATAGACCATTCCAGGGGAAAAACTTTCACTGCTTTCCCTCTTGACAGGTGGATTTCAAATATGGCGTGCAAGGAATTTACAAAAAATTGACAGTTCTCCATCCATTGATAGTACTTTGCAGGGCATAAATTTTGATGTAAAGTTTCCTTTATCCTAGTTGTATAAAATACAACAAATCCCTTGATTAGACCCTTCTATCAAATTTGGGGGATTGTATAAAAACTGCCTAAACGCTAACAGTGAACAGCCGCTTGGACTTATTGGCTATTGCCTTCACCTTAGTACAAACAGACCCTGTACATGAAAATTTAAAATAACCCAACATGCTATTTTCTCATTAACAGAAGAAATTATTATATTATTATTATTTTAAAGTTTTTCTGCATTGAACATTTACAGATGACTAATAATCTTTACAAAACCTGGGTCTGCCAGAAGGAAGAGGGGGAAGTAACTCTACAACTGCAAGCGTGAATGAACCTTGACAAAATGAAAGAGAAATAAAAGTACCATGCACATGAAGGAACACTTAAAGTCAACCCTGCAATGCATCCGGCTGGAGTCAACAATTTAAGGAATATAAGAGAAAAAGAGATAAAGATGAAGGCATCAAATATCAACCTGGTTGGCATCAAAAACACAAAATTAGCTGGTCCCAGGGCAAAGATTGAAAGCAGAAAGGTGCAATGATAACTCGAGCCCCCTAAGTTTCAATTCCTTCTCTAGGTGTCAACAACCAGCAGCCTTCAGAAAATTGTCATATGGACTTGATGCAGGAAGCTGAAAGCAGGGCTGATGTTTGTACTCAGTTGCACAAAGCATTGGAGTAGTGACAACATATTGATTTATAGAAACAGCACCAACGTCTTGATCAATAAATGGATTTTTACTCTGCAATTCCAAAATGGTCTCAACATGAAATCAAGTAGCAATATGCATCACTAAGGATTTAGATATATATACTCTGCAATCTTTTAGCTTTATCCTTGTACTCTATGTGATGTTAGGTACATAGCATATTCTACATGGTAATGAGAAATTGATACACATGTTCAAATTTAGGGAGTAGGCTGAAATAAAAGAAAAAAAATTCCCATCCTCCAAATTATAGTCAAAAGTTTTTGAGGAATTAAAGTGAAAAAAGAGAAAAAGTGATAAGGCGTTAGTAATTATGGTTAGCAGATGATGTAAGAGGCCAGAAAGTGGATATTGATTATGGATGATGAGTGAGGGGTTATTGTTAAGAAGCATTAATTTGTACCTATGTTGCTCCAACTCCAAACATACCTAGGTTATACACACAGCCGACATCCCAACATGACCATGCCCATACGATATGACACTTCACACGAAAGGAAAAACTATACAACCATGATCAATAATGTTATGGAACATGATTGATAATGCCTTGTCTGAAATTTATATGATATGCCCCTAAATTCCGATTACTAGAATGTCCTTACACTATTTCAATAGAACTTAGGAAAAGAACAAAAAATAACCGTTTTACTTGAATAAGAAATATTTGAAGTGGCCACTATACAAGTTAGTACCTTCAAGGAACCTGATTCAACATGAGAATGAGGCTGCACCTCCTTTGCAAAAATGCTCACCAAACTTTCTCGATTTTGTTGAGCACTCATTAGAACAGACATCTTCTGCTGCTTTCCCACCAGAAGGGCCTCACAGTGGCCGGCCATTTCGCTATAAGGCATGTTAGGGGTGGTTGAGACCGAGGGTCTTCCAACTTGATGTGTTGTCTCTGAAAGCTACAAATAGATGAGAAATAGATTTGAGTATAACTGTCCTTTCCTATGTACATGATACCAGTAGATTAACGTATACCATCAGTCAACAGAATGACTCACTGCATCAAGAAGTTCATCAACACTCAGGAGATTTTGAGGCTCAAGTGCCAAACGTGTAACAAGACTTTTTTCACCTTCAAATGTACTAGGCAAAGCATCATCATCTACTGTGAATAATGGAGGCTCAACCTGCACATTCACAACATTATACACTTGGTATGAAATTCAAGAAAGAGATTAGGGAGAAAGGAAGAATTGAAAGCAAAAGATAATTGCCTTTTCAGGAGATTGATCATCTATTGATCCAGATTCATATGTTTGGGCAGGTGAATCCATGAACAGATGAGTTCCACGTGGACATCCATCATTAGGGATGAAATCACTAAGCAACTGGTTTCTTATTTTGGATGATTCTTGCTGCCAGAATGATCTTAAATGTTAGTATTTCATCCATACTAGTGTGAAGCAACTAACTTTTACAGCAAGGCAAATAAAGGTCATACATCAGACAAATTGCCAAGAAACTTCACTATCATGGTTGCAAATGATTCATTAGATTGGTTCTCTGCTATTTTTATTTCAGAAAGTGACTTCAAAGCATCTTCATCATCTTCTTTTGATCCGTATACTTTTCCTGGATGCTCTATTTCAGTTTTAGCAATCTGTAACTTGCAATCATTGACCAACTGCAGAAACGGATCAACCTAAAGCAAAGTCATAAAAGTATACAGTTAGCTAAGCTTTGAGTTTCAAATATTTCTATACAATAATGTGACTCGCCCATATAACGAGATTAAGAAAATAAACCAATAAAATCCAAATCAATAGTGTTGCACCTACTGTTTTTTCTGTAAGGGAAGCTTTAGCACAAGAGAAAAGTGGGGGGATGTTGTAGGCTTTTGATGAGAAGATGATCATAGAAGTAGCAAGGATAAAGAGGGACCTCCGGTGTGATGGCTGCAGTGGCCCTACCAAAAAAATCAAAAGATTTCATCAAATGGAGAGATGGATCCAAAATTGCATCTTAAATGATGATTAGCCCTGAGGTTCATTAGAATTTAATAAAACAACCCTACACGAATACCCTAATTGGTTAATTTCAGTGCTACAACAACTTAGCAAGATTATATTGTCAAATGTAAAGTAGAAAATCAATTGTAATCACGCTACTGTTGTCAAAAGATCATTGGGAAGAAACACCCATTGATTACTTAAAGTGAATTAGAATAGAGCTACATGTACCTTTGTAATTTACTTTCAATTATTCTACTGGTGTTTAAGATCACTATATCTCAATATGCCAGAAGAATAAGCAGGAACCTCTAAAATTTTACAATCATGTTAGTGGTTTAGAATAAGCATAATATGACAAAAAGGCTTTTGGGAACTTTGGTTGAAACAAAAGATAATATGTACAAATTTGGAACCAAGGCCTACCTCCTCCACCTCCCAGAGATATGCTTCTTAAGGAAAAGCCCAATTGAAAGCTTCGAACCATAGCCTCATTATAGGAGTTCTACATAATATAATGCACTGTAAGAAAACCAACTGAATGTAAACAGTGAACTATTTTTTGAAGCATAGCCGAAGATGAACGCATAATATATCTCAGAAAACGGTAAAAAAACTATTTAAGAGGAAAAGACTTCACTGGTAGATTAACTTAGAAAAGAGATAAGAAAAAGCCAATTGGAGATATATCTCTTTGATTGATCAATATCACACTTTTGTATTCACAAATTTCAAGCACTCATTTTTAGATAAGGACATGCTTAAAATATTTAATTAGTATCCATTAATTCAATGAGCAGTAGAAAGAAGTCTGAAACAGCTATGCTCCACTTCTAGGGAGCAAACATGAAGAAGATGAATAAATGCTATATTTGCATTCCAAATTCCCCTAAAAGCACATAAATTTCTTCTTATATCCTTCAAATATATCCATCTGTTTCCATCAACTAGTAGTTGGCAAGATTCATTAAATATCTTCTAAAGCCATATTTGTTTTGCAATTATTTGAAAGCTTTAACTGTAAAAACTGAAACAGAATCTACGTGAGCATTCACAATTTAACAAATCTATAAAATACATAACTCTCAGTCAAACAGAGCCAGCCTTTGTGAAGTATAGACAGTTATGGTTTTTACCCACCACATCAAGGTGCATTAACTTCAACTATGGTCCTTTCAATGGCTTCTAATTAATCACACCATTATTATTATTTATGCATTCTCAAATCTTTATTGATAAGCAAAGCAACTTAGTGAGCTAGGCTAATACCTTTCTTAATCTTTATTGATAACATTTAGCATTACACCTACATTGAAGAATAGCAGTATCAAAGCAGCAGTAGCTAGTATAATAAACTTCCAGAAAAGGGAATGATTTGACTTAGAATGTTACTAGAAAGTATGCACATAACAACTATTTAAAATGCTCTATTGTATGAATTTTTTCACTTCATCTAGAACTTCATATTGTCCTTGGTCCCAGTTGCAAAAGGAAACTCTAAAAGCATCATTAATTGATTGGGGACTTGTTTCTCTGTTGATCCTATGCAGAACCAATGCACGTATCTTTGCTCAATTCACCCAATAATATTCCTATAGTGATTCCAATATATTTGCTTTAGCATGACCATAACAAGATATTTAACTTGTTCACTGTTTTCTTAGGTTCCAACTCACACAAATCAAGTAATTGTAGGCTAAAAATGATTGGATCCAACCAAATAAGAGGTACTATTAGTCAACAGCCATAAATATTTTACAAACCTGTGCATCATATTGCAAAACTCTAATAGAAGAAATGCACACATGTGCAAATGCATGCACGTAAGTTTATATGTAAGGATGGATGCATGGCAAATTAACAGCACAAAAGAACGTGTTAAGGAAGTATAAAACAAATCCAACATGAATTTTAATTCATAATGTCACTAAATTGCCAAGAATGATGTAATACCTTGGTTCGTGCAAATAGCAACACCAGGCTGTAGGTATGAGCAATTGCTTCAAAATTTTCAGGCATATTTAAAGGAGAGATGGATTGCACCCAAATAGATGAAAGCATAAGAGTTATCTGATGACTGCTTAATCGAAGAGGTAAAGCCTGACATCGGTTGGGAAGAAAAGGAAAGGTCATGTCAGATAAAGGAAAAGAAGTAATTTTGTGCATTGATGATTGAAAGGCAAGAATGTGAATACATAACTGGAACTCCAACTGAATTACTCATTGATTTTTCATCTTCTATTGCAGCTGATGGATTCATCTTTACACTATAAGCTCGGCTGTAACTTGACTTCAACCTGTTCAGAATAGTCTGGTTTTGGATCTTTGCACTGTCACTACCAACAGTTTCATTTGTGTTTACAATTGGTGGTTGCCCTTTAGCACAATTCAACCTGTCTTGCATAGAAACACCATTGATGTTTCCAACCTTATTGTCTACAACTTTTTCTTTATCTTCCCTACCCAACTTCTGAAAGAGTGCAGCAGAAGAAGAAAACACAGATACAGTTCTTGAGAGTGTCTTTTGCAGATTAGTGGCCTTCTTTGATAAATGAGTTGCAGCAGGAGGACAAGGGCAGACAGATGATGGAACCAGAACAACAGAAAATATGCGGTGAGTACCAACCCTTGTTTCATGGTCTGCACAGACCATTGCTAGAAGTAATTGATGAAACAATGACTCAGGAAAAGCCTACAATATTTCATATTTGTAAGGAATGAGAAAAAGATAAGGAACTAAAATAGAAGATACGCAATCTCCTGCACAATAACTAAAATAATTAGATAGTAAATGTTGCCTTACCTTGTTTTGGTATGACAAATTTGGAATTGATGCCATAATTTGAGCCGTACGATAAACTGCAGAAATCAAGGTTCTGGCCATAACAGTAATGTTTGGCATGTTCTCCAACATAACGGCCATCATATCAAGGACAGGACCTGCATCCCCAACCTGCCTTTACAAGGTATCTTAGTTATACATTTACTTTAAAAGAATATTATCAAGTTGCAACTGCAATATCGTTAAGATATTGCATTCCTGAGTTCCGATTGTAATTATTTTGCCAATATGTTAAGTCCTATTTGCATCAACTGTAGATATGTTAAATCATGTTTCAAATATAAATGATAATTTATAAATAGGTTACTTAACAGGTGGAGAACAAAGTCACCTTATGTGATAACTGAACAAGGCACTCATCTACAGCTGCTCGAAATTTTTGGTTGTATTGAATCACCTCAGCTCCCAGACTGGAATCATCAAGTGAACAGTGTATGCTTTTCCGTAGGTGTCTTGTCATATCAGTTAATGCACCAATTATAGCCACAGATGGCTGAACCTTTGTTTGTTGAGCAAGGGAAGTGACAACATCCACAATATCTAACTGCATACAGGGCTTCTTCAGAACATTCTTGTGGTCGAGATGCTTTACTAAGATGGACAACAAAAGGTGTGTGTTTTCCCCTGAGAATAATAAAGCAATCACTTGAAATCACACCAAAATTCACTTCAAAAGATGACAAAGGAAGCAAACTCCTATCAATATCAAACAAACTAAATACCACATTTCTCTATTATTAACTGCATGTCCTGCAAGACAGAAAGAGCTACACCATGCTGGGTAGACCACAGGTCCTCATTATCAAAAAACCGAAACAAAGATTCTAAGACACGTCGGACAGTTGTAACTTCCTTGGCTAACTTGGCCATGTTATGCAGGCAAACTCTTGACCAAAATTGGGGATTCTCAGCTTCCTTCCTGCAATATTAATGGGGGAAAAAGGGGACTTCATGTAGCCATTAAGCATTCCATATGTACAGAGAATGCAGCAATTAAAAATTTGTGACAAGAGCAATTACACAGGGACAAGAATTTCTCCAATTTCACTCACAATACTCCTCCAAGAGTATGTTGCCATGGCATCTGGGGAAGATAAATTGTCTTTAACACAGTCATTCTGTGTATCTTGATTGTCATGAATAACAGCATCTGATTTTTTTAAACCTCTGTAATTTTCCAAGACCACTGAAACAACCTGGTGTTTTAGGGGAAATTTTAAGTAACCTTAAACAAAGTATATTGGAGCATGAAAATTGAAGCACATGACAGATAAACAGATACAAGCCAGTGAAGGTATTATGTAAATGCTGATAAGTATAACACACACAGATCAAAGGAAATCAGTAAATTTTATTTCAACTTGATTGTGATATATTCTCATTACCTGTAAAGTTTTAAGTTTGCTTGTGGTTTTAAGGTTACTTTTTATTAAATTTATATAGGATTCCCAGATATTTTACATTACAACTGTAGTATACACATACTAGATGAAAGTGGGTAAGAATGTTAGTTTAAATGGAGTTTTTATATCCACATTTAGCAGTCAAAGGTGGTGCATTGGCATAAGAGTCTTAGTTGGAGTAAGTTTTCATCCTACTATCAATCTCATAAGAGAAGACAGCAACTACAATTATGCCTTTATGCTCATTTTAGTAACTCAGAGTTTCTAAATTTATGCTATTTTCTGATTTGGAGTTAAAGCCATGTACATGTTATTGCTTTCATCTAGATGCAATTACTTAGAACCCTACATTTGATCACCGAGATTTTTTTGATCCATTTATTTGTTCTTCCCCATCTTAGTTTCTCACAGGAAGGGTGCAATCAAACTTGTTTAAAACACCTTCAAAGTGAACAGTTCCTGTTTTGCTAAGAAATATAATCTCCAAATTCTAGCTCCCAATTCTTATCTCAATTTAGTACTGAAAATTTAAGACACAGCACCACCATAGCATTCCATTCCACATCATGGTGCCAAGAGATAGAAATGCATGGAAAAATAATATAAAAAGAAAATTGTAAATAAAATTAAGCAAAAGGGTCCCAAGAAAACTCACATTATCAAACTCAGCTGAGACGTGAGAGAACTCTCCCATGAACCAAACCTATAAGACGAATAATTAGAAGATTGTGGAAGGAGTTAACTCTGTTATTTTATTATTGAGTTTTGTTGTTCATTTTTCTTATGTTGGAAACTAAATCATCTAAAATTTAATAATTAGGACAAGTCAATATAAATAAATTAGTAAAAATATAATAAATAAAACAATGAGTGGGGATCAGTTGAGCAATGTAATAATGAATCATATGGAAACTTGACTAGAGAAGCAGAAAGGATGATATTCAAGTTTTCATCCAAATACCTAAACTGAAGAAGCAGAAGGTCACCATACTCTAGATGATACCATTTTTGCTACCAGAGATTTGATTATTTTCATGTTCACATATGATCAAACTTATGATATCAGCAACTTAGTAGAGAAGACAATTTTTTGCCCCAATTTTAATTTCAAATCCCTCACACCACTATAATTGAGACTGTTTCCATTTTTAAGGTAAAATTTATTAAATCATAAGGAAAATGGTAGAGTAACCAGCGTGCAATCATATTATATAAGAAGTGTAAAAAAAAGCACCATTTCTTTAAAATGCCATAGATAGGACTTAAAATGAGCTATAGAAAAAATTTGCTAAGTAAGAGAAGAAAACATAAAAGAATTCACATGAAATTAAGACGGATAAAGTATATATGGCATAGGGAATGCAAATATGGAGAGATGAACTGGAGAAAATAATGGAAAATAAAGGGATAAACTATTGATTTCCTAATTGGATTGAGATGTTTTCCTATCTATGGAATCTATTGTCCTTGTATGCTCTTTCCACTCATCCATTTTGACAGAACCAATTAGTTATGACCTGAACTCCTATAAAAACAACAAAATCTAGATCCTAACTGCCCTTCAGCCATTACTTCGAATCTCAGTACACAAATTGCTCACCTTATTATTATTATTTTTTTGTGTGTGTGTATAGGCCAAAGTTACAAGAAAAAGGAAAAATAATTCTTGCTAAATAATCAAAGATAATGGTACCATCAAATTCTTAATGCATATGGGGGAAGAAGGGAGAAATTCCACAACACAGGTGGATTTCAAATTCATACTTAAAGTGATTACAGGAGGCAAAGTTGAAAGAAACAATACTTGGAGATGGTCATGAGAAAAACTAGCATAATAATACTATTAGTACAAAGGAAATCACTAAGAAAAACAATGGGGATTTAGGTTAAGAATTTTCGATAGTTATAGAAAATTACCACTGATGAAAGGGTTTGAAGACCAGCAGAACGCAAATGTTGTACCCTCTTGTCCTCTCCCATTTCTTGAGCTAAAAGACAAAGTTTTGGAATCAATCCATCTAAGTTGAACATATAAGTGCCATCCCTCTGGCTAGTCAAAAATGGTGAAACATTAGCATGAGGGGTTTCACTGGAATTAGAAGAAACTCGAACTTTCTGAAGTAAAGTACTTCTTGAGATAAACAACTTAAAAGTGGCAAGAATCTACCAACACTTTCTACCTGATTATTCACAAAAACAAAAAGAGCTTGGCATCCCAATACCCGCATATCGTCCATTCTTGTTTGATCTAGCAGGATCTGTATAATGCTGAGAAAGCTACTGGCAAACAATGGCCTGCGATATAGTAAATAACAATAAATATATATCAACTAGTTGATTGATACGCTTTTAAGTGCTTTAGACATATATTTTGAACTTGCCAAGGTTATTTTATTGTTAAGGCTCCATTTGCTTCAATAGTTTCCTCAAATCTCAAGAAAGAAGCATTGTTAATTTCTATAGTCCAGATTCCAGAATAAACAAAACCATCAAGACAAGAAATATGCTTTCACATTAAATTCTGGTTTCAACTTTCCTTTAATGAGCAGGGAGTAGAAAGGGGGAATAAAGGAAAGGTGGTATTTTTTGTCAGAAACAAATCAATATGCAGAAGCAAAAAAAACTGAGATTCAAAACCGTACACTTGCATGCCCAGCCAACTACGTTAATATTTCTTGTTTCTAGCCAAGAGACTTTTCGATTAGTCAAAGTAGTCGGCAAGCCTACAAATATCATTATTGACTGCATCATATTATATGCATGGTGCTATCATTACCTCCGTCTAAAAGCTATGGCAACTTATTGATGCCCACGCCAAAAATATTAGCACTCCCTTTTCAACCTCAATGGAGATTAGATGATATAGCCTTACAATGTGAAAGCACTATCTAAATGTGTCAGAGAATAAGTCCAAAATGAATATGCTACAAATGTCACAACCCAAAAATAAAAATGTACTCCAATTCAAGGTTCCCCTTGACAAATAATCTCTCTACTTGAAAACATTATAACAAGGTTTGCTCTTAATTATATATAGCAAAAAAAAATAAAATTGTAAAGTATGCCATAAACTAGTGAAGCAAACTCTGTTTCAAGGTATCAGTCCAATGTCATTCAGACACCAGATTCTCAAATGGGACTTAATAGCTGTCTGATCATGAGAGATTTGTCAAATCTTGCAAAATGGAGGTGAAGAAGGGGAAGGCATATCTTTGTTATCGGAAAATCTTAGCTCATAGTTCACATTACGTGCTTTACTTTTTTTAATGTTTTACCTTATATTGCACTCTGACTCATTAGACTTTCAAACTTTACCAAAATCCTATCTTTAGAGAGTTATTGCTGTACATTGCTGGTAAAATTAAAATTTAAAAAAGGGTCATAACTAGGCCAACTAGAAAATGTCTTCATATCAACCTACATGAGAGATTAGCTCCTAAATTATCTGGTTTCAAAATATCATAGCATGAAGATTTAATGACCTGATGACAGTCATAAACATGAACGCTTAACCTTGAATTTTTTTTGCAAACGGGCCATAGAGTAGTGCTTTATGACCTTATTACATACTCGCATTCAGTAAGATGAAAAGGAACTCACATTTGCTCTTTACAAGAAACCATCAACTTCCTGTAGACATACACAGTAACTTTTACAGAGTGAAATTGCTCACTTCGCAAATCCCCGTAAAATTTCTGCTCCAATGAACTTGTTATCTGATTTTTAAACACAAATCAGAAGGTTGAAAATTAGATTTTGAACATCAATAGTATTGATAAAGTAAACCAAACCAAAAATAAGATTAATTGGAACAAAAAATACAGCGAAAACCTAAACTATGACACAATGGCTTATTGGAAAATGAAAACTAGCAAGGACGAGAGTAAATCAAGATCATAGCAGTTAGGGGGTGTGTGAATAAAAAATTAACATACGAAGAGGCATTGATGAAGATTACAAAACGTACCTTTGGAATACGAAGAGGATTCTTGGAAGCATATTCACATAGTTTACTGATCATTCGTTCATTGGGTTGTTCATCCTATGAATTATCATTGATGCCCAAAACAAATAATGAGTCCCACGCAAATCCTTACAAAGTTTTCTAAAAGGAAGAAAATAAGATGAGAAAAAGGCAGAAACCGGAGATCGAGGAAAAATATCGGCGAGAAATTTCTTGTAACGCTTGACGGGATGCCTGGATCTGGTACTCAAGGAAGGGCAAAAGATGCACAAAGTCCCGCACATAGGCATCACTCCTCTTGATATCACCCCCATTTCCGTTCAAACTCTCCCTCTTTCTTTCTCTTTATAAATATTATTATTTATACAAAGTATATAATTTAAAAGCTAGGTAAAATGATAACGAGAGAGATCGATATATAAATTAGAGAGAACGAATTCTCTGGGATCGGAGGGATGGAGGAAGCAGATGGCCGAGGAAATGTAAATCTTCTCTCTCTCTCTCCTCTCTCTCTTCTCTATTATATGCCGTCGTCTGTGTATTTATAGTCTTCGCTGTGCGAGTTGCACATTGCAATCACAGGACGGACAATTGACTATTATTAATAATTAATAATTATTTTTCCTTGGGTTTATAATGAAGTTTCAAGCATCATGGGTCCGTGTCACAACGGCTAAAAATTTGAAGGTCGTGGCGCTATGGGCCCCACAAGATCCCAATTAAAAATGCATGGGCCCTACAATCTTTTAAATTTAGACTTTTTTTTTTATAGGTTTTCAGACTTACAATGAATTCGACTTTTCTTAAATAAATCCTTTAAAATTTTTAAAAATTTTCAGCGTAACCAAAAAAAAAAATGCTAATTTGGAAAATTCTAATTTACACACGAGAGAAAAGATATAAAAAAACGCACATATTGTGTAGGTGTTTTCGGGTCGCATGTTATTGATGAAATAACTAAGGTCCCGTTGTTTTATAGAAAATGATTTTTAAAAAATAATTTTTAAAAAATATTTATATTTTTTAAATTAAAAGAAATTTTTTATTATTCAAATGAGTTAATAAAAATTATTTTTTGTTGTTTGATTGTTTTTAAAAAATTCGTTTATTTTTTAAATAATATTAATGTAATTATTAAAATATTTAAAATTATTTAATATTAAAATATATTGAAATAATTTATTATTAAAATTATTAATATTCAAAAACAATTATATTTTTATAATAATATTTAATATTAAAATATTATGTTAATAAAAAATACTTAAAATAAAACAATTTATTATTCTTTATATTATTTATTAATAATATATTATAATATTATTTATTCATATATTATTATAATATTTATTAATTAAATTAATAATATTTATTATTATATTATTTATTAATATAATATTACTTATTAATATAATATATTAGTATTTATTTATTTATAATCATATTTATTAATATATAATATATTATTTATAAGTATAATATTAATAGTCTATTATTTATTCATATAATATTATTTATTAATATATTGTAATATAATATTATTTATTTATTAATATAATATATTTATAAGTAAAATTTACTTAAAAGTATTAATAAATAGTTATATTCATATATAGTTCTTTTTCGTAAAATATTTTTCTCTTTTTAAATCTGTAACATAATTTTTAAAAAAATAATCTTATTTTTCATTAATCAATAAATTATTTTCTATTGACTAATTAATTTTTTGTCAAACAAATGTTTGAAAATAAAAAATATATATTTTTCAAAAATTATTTTTCAAAAAATTAACTGAACCTAAATAAAAAAAAAATTTAACTCCTACTACTCTTTTTTTTCTTAATTGAAGAAATAATTAAAAAATAAAACAACAAGTTCAAAAATGAGTAATAACCCTCAATAGGGATTGATACGATTCAATTCAATATTTTGTTCGTTCGGATTTGATTGTATTATAACTCTATAATTAATTCAGATTAGATTTATAGTTGGATGAATTACATTGTTATATTGACCCCAAAAAAGAAATGATAGGTATAGCTAATTTGTAAATAATCAACCATCGCATTATAACAATTGGATAGGTTCGATCTATGATCATTAGATCCTCTTAAAAAGATCTATTAAATTTATCAAAGTTGTTCCAAAGAATCAAAACAACAAGTTATTAATGGAATTTCTTGTCGGCTCTTTGTAAAATACTCATTTGGACGAGGCCTTCTAAACATATTATAAGCCAAACATGTGCTGACGAATAACCAACACGCAATGAATAAAGAAAGTATAGTAATACTATGAATGATTTGGTATAGAATACAGGTAATAATAGCAGCAAAGTAACGTTCTTCTGTGTTTCCAGACATGCTGAGCTCCGCATATTCTTGTAGAGATCGATTTCGTAAAAGATGAGATCAATAAACGGAAATTCACTGAAATTCAATCTTTGTGAGAGAGTGAAACCAATGTTGTTTTGGGATGTGTTTGCCTTCAGTAAACTGTGTCAAATATCTGGACACAAAGTCTTACTTGATATGGGTACCCGTGGATTACTATCCAAACAGTTTTCCCTCCGTTTGTCTTTGATTTTTTTTTTTCTAGGAATCTAGATTCACCGATCACCACTCACATGTCTCGATTACCTCGATTTACTCCTTCATTTGCTCCTTATAAAAAGGTAACAATTTACATTCACTCGTTCATCCCGGTGAAAATTCATCAGGACAAAGAAATAGTGACAATTCACATCCACTTTGACAAAAAGAAGACGGCGACAAAATCAAACAGAAGATCAATTTATAGCAAACAGAGATCCTTCATCAATTTGGATTTAGAAAGACGAAGAAGAGGAACATAAAGGAAAACAAGACGCAATGCTTGTAGCCGTCTGTATGATAAGCGGGTCTGGAAAGTTTCTTGCTCTCATAGCCGTATATGTTCTTAGCAGGGTTGTGCACCACCTTTTATCCCAACCTTACATAACTCGTGATAAATATATTTAAAGCTATAAGGAAAGGGCCAATGAAATGGAGAAAACGAACCATTAAGGATATTTAATATGCAACGACAGTGATGCCGATATTTGTATTACCCACAATTGAAGCATATAAAAGACACCTTTCATATCTAAACTGGAACGTGCTACACCAAAATGTCGACATGCCTCATATTAGTGAAGAACTATGAACCACATTCTAAAATGTTCAGTATGCAAAACCTCCGATAATTAAAAACAATTAATCCCTTTCTCGAGATTTATATATTGTCATTTTCAATCAACCTGCTACTTTCAGACCATTTCACAACTCCTTAACGGCTTAATCATTAGTATTTTCTTTTGGAATGCTACTTCCTTCAAAGGACATTCCTGAATCCTGCAAATTGAAAACTTTTATCACTCCACAAAGTACAGAACCATGAATCAGAGAACCATGAAGCATGCGTACCTCGATTAGATGGAAAAACCAAACAAATGCCCAGGTAGATATGAAAATGAAATACTGCCCCACTTAACTACCAAGTACTATCAGGAACTACACAAATAAGTAAAATATAGTGGGTGATAAGCTGGGTTAGAAAAATATAGTACAGAATGCTGAAGGTTTGTTTCTTGAACTGCTTTGAGTCAGACTTCGTAATAGTGTCATGACAAAAGCCTCAATAACATGCATTGCAGTTTTTTATGCATCACAACAGTCAAAATGAGAAAATATCTCAAAGTAATTGATTCTTTTCCTTCTAAAATCAGAACACAAAAGCACCGGTTTACAGGGCACCTCAAACATGCATTAGTAGTCCCTTGAATGCTTTGCTACTTCAGCTTACGAACTGAAATTAAAAGGTGTGAGGATGTAGCTCAATATAAGCACTGCACACAGCAAAACTATCAATATAGATAACGAACAGTAAATATTAGATTAAATATTTTGACTGTTTGAGTAAATCTTTGGATAGGTGATAGGTAAATCTTCTGTATGTGTACAAGAGAGTGAGAATTAGGCGCCTGCATGAGCGTGTGTGTGTGTGTGTGTGTGTGACACAGAGAGAGAGAGAGAGAGAGAGAGAATTATAATCCTAATTTGTCCTAGGTTCCTGCTAATGCACTCTAAGCAGATGCTTCTATCGGACAAGTGAAGCTGTTAAGCAATCACATTGTATGTGTAGAGCACTAATGACTAATCTACATTAAGTTAAGTCACTTCCTTTCTGGAGAAGTTGAATTTCTTCAAGAAATACTGTGTTTGATTGTATTAACCATGTTGGACTTGGACGCAAAAGCTTTAAGAAACACTTCAATCCCTGATGTAAATGCAATTTAAAACAATAGTAGTTGTAAGTTACGACGAAAGACGGATGTAACACGTCAAATGCATTCTTCAGATGATCAAGTTCTTTATCCAAATCATTGATCGCTAGGGACGGATTTACAGTGGGGGCAGCAGGGGCAACTGCCCCCGTTGAAATCCTGCAACTTTTTTTTAAATATATTATGATATTAGACAAAAATTTTAACATTTTTATATTTTACCCCCTTTAAATTGAAAAAGGAAAAATATAAAATGAAAGGATTTAAAAATATTATAAAGCGTAGATATACTTTAATAAAAAAATTGATTAATTTCAAAAGAAAATAAAGTATTATATGTAAATATTAATAAATTTTGGATTATAAATAATTATTTCATGTAAATTTTACTTTAATTAACTTAAGTCACAACCTAATATTACTTTTCTCTCTTTTGCCTCTATCTCTCTATTCTCCTCTCTTTTCATTTGTAGACTTTTTATTTTTATTTTTAGTTATGTGAAATATCATTATATTATTGTAAAAATATTCAAGTCAAGCATAAAATGATAAAATATTTATAAAAAAAAACGCAAATCAAAGCTAAACTAATCTTGTATAGTGAAATATAGATAACGAGTAAAATAAAATTAAGACAAAGCATTCATGATACAAAATTTATTTTTAACATATCAAAGTACTTTTTTCTTTTGTTGTTTTTTTTTTTTTTTATATTGATAATGTGATAAGATGCTTTTTTAACATTATTTAAAATTTATAATAACATGTATTTGATGTAAAATAATGTTGTAAAGATGTAACCTAACAAACTTATAGATATGTAATATAACAAAATTTAAAATTTAGAAAAAAAACCTAGTATCAAATTTAAAATTATTAAAAAATCCTATTTTGTATTTTCATATTTTATCTCATGTCTTAAAAATTATAGAGAAAATTAAATTAGTATTTGATTTAAGTTAGTAAAAGATAAATATTTTTAATAAGAGAAGTGAATTTTAAAAAAATTTGAAACTGAATAAAGTTACATATATTTTAATATTGACAATAAAAAAAATCATACATTTTTTACTTATGAAAACTATTTAACTCAATTATATAGTATTATTTTCATTTAAAAAATGATAATATTATGTGTTTGTGTTTATTTGATATTTAAATTTGATATGTATTTAATATTATAAATTTTTATTATATTTGTATTAATTTCTATTTAAACTTTTTATAAATTTGATATTGTAAAAAATATTTCAAATTTTTTTATTAAAACTCTGTTTTACGTTTAGAAATCATTATCTTTACATTAAATAAAAAGTTTTAAATAAATATATTATATAATAAAATTGTCCCCTCTGAAAAAATTCTTGGATCCGTCCCTGTTGATCGCCTGCATTGGAGAAGACTGGCTAGTTGTGTGAATCTACAAAATTAATTAAAACACCCTGAAAATTCGGCACTACGATGCAAACAAATATACAAAAAACATTAACAGCGATTAGCCCTGTTTGGTTCCGTGACACCCTGAGCCTAACAACGAACAAATACTAACCCTAACAATGATTTTGTACAGCAGAGCGTGAGGGAGCTTGTAACCAGCAAACAAAACGTTATCGTCTCTGTGCAATTGCCTGATTGTTTATCATTGTTCAAAAGTTCAAGGAAAAAATTTTTAAAAAAATAAAATTAGAGCTTAATCCAGCTAACCAAACAGAATGGGACGAAAATTTGGAAGGGGGAGATTGCTAAATTATTCGCACATTCGAAGGATGTTGCCGATGGTGTGGTATTCTCTCTCGATAGTGAACGACGCCGGATTGATTATCTTGGTGTCTCTCTCGTAAGAAACCCTAAAATTCAACCAAGAAAAATATAACAGCGAGTTAGACAGATAGAGGGTTTTTAGAGACACAGTTTGGGATGAAGAAAATTACTTCTTGGTGTCCTCAGCGACGACGAATCTTTCGTAACGGTGGGAGGCATTCATGGTTTTCTCTCTCTCCTCCTCTCACTTTCTCCTTCGCAATCTCTGTTTTACTTTTTAGACTGCGCTCCTCGAAGAAAATGGTTTTGCTTGGCGTTGGCTTAGCGCCGATGAAAATGTTAGACAAGTGGTGTGACGGCGGCAGGAGTTAGAATGACGTCGCTTGTAACTTTTTCTTTAAAAATGACATTCCATAAATGGTGTACTTGGGTTGATATCTGATTACATAAATTGTGTTTTTGTAATGATTTAGGTTAACGTTTGATGTTCTCAACTAAAACATTTAAAAAAATGATCCAATGTATTATTAGTTTTTTAATTTTACAAATAAAATTAATAAGGTAACACGTGTTGATATTTAAAAATAAAAAAATTAATTAAAAAAATAATATATGTATCACAATATTATCGTATTAATCTCATCTATAATATTAAAAAATTTTATTAACAATATATCAAATAATTTTTCATAAACTTTAAGTGGGGGGAAAGATTACAGTGTCAGCTCTAACTTGCATCCAAGAATTTCACTGTCCAATTATAGACACTAGTCAACTTTGCCTTCATTATTGTCTTTAATCCTCCGTTGAAAAATGCCTAATAAAAATGAGAATGCAAGTACAAAGTTATATATATATATATATATATGTATATGATATAATTCTTTTGTTTCATTTTTTTAATAATGTTTTAAAATTATGTCTTTTTTTTTTATTTTTTGAAACTCTCAATAGTGTATACTTTAAATTTATTTTTTATAATTTGTTTTTATTTTTTGATATTAAAAATTATTAAACTTTAATTTAATAAAATTTAAAATTTGATATTAAATATATTAAAATAAAAAAAATTATTTTTGAAAATTAATATATAACAAATATTTTAGAACGAAAGAAATATAAAATTATTAATATTTTATAATAAGGTAAACAATGTTTCTTTTAATCAATTACTAAGTTCTATTAGATTCTTTTTATCTAATGTCATTTTTAACCATGTGACTAAAAATTTATAATTGTATAATTTTGATTTTCGAGAATTTTTAATGTATCCCGTTATCCTTGAAATCTTTTTCCTATTGTTACATATGAGTTGTATAGTTTAATTTACACAAAACTCTTTACCATTGCATAACTTAAAGAAAAAAATTTTATTACGAAATTATGCTAAGAAAATCAAACACGTTACACTTTATGATCAAACATCAAATTGTGACTCATAAGACAAGTATAAAAACTAAAAAGCTCGTGTATCTCTTAATTGACGTAATATGGTGAAAATTAGGTAGGAATCAAAAGATGTAACTTTTCCACACTTTTATTCTAGACAAATAAAAGAACAATTTGCGCATTCTCTTTTACTTTTTTTAAAAATTAAGGAAAGCTACAAAAGTAAAGGTTATGATTTTTTTTTTATACATTTTCATTTAAAAACGACAATTTAATTTATCAAATGATTGATTGTCATTGTATATATAAATAATTGATACAAAAATACAAAAGTTTTTGAATATATCACTAAATTGATATCATGCATAATTATTTTAACTATTCAAATAAAACATTATGCACTTTCCTTTTACGTAAAATTGTGATTCAAATATAATGTAAAAATAATTTTAAACGAATAAACAATTGTCACTTTCTTTTTTTTTTTTAAAGTGACAAGTATATTCGGTATTCAACAATAAAAAAAAAAATCTTCCATTTCCTTGGTTGTTCAAATGAGAGAATATTATTTACCAAAAAAAAAAAACCCAACCAAAATGTAATTCAAACATGTGTTGGGACGCTGACATGGCAAATTATGATTGGTTCACCGAGACCCTAGAGCACAAGGCCTTACATCTACACCTGTCAACTTTCCATGAGACATTGCCGTTTACTTTGGCCAAACTCGGCGTATGGATGCTAACCACACCCTCTCCCTTGCGTTAAAATGAAACCAGATTCACAAATCAAGCAAACTGAACCACAGCTACGCGTCGCCGATTATTAATTTTACCCCTCACTAAAACGAAATAAACCGAAAAAGAAAAAGAAATAAAATAAAACAAAATCGGTTTTGCATTTTTTTTAATCGGCCATATTATTTTAATAATTTATTTATTATTACTTTTTTAATTTTAGGAGCGAGATCGCTAAATCTCTCCAAAACACAAAAAAATTCAAAATCCCAAAATCCCTCACTATGGCCTTTCATGTAGCTTGCCCAATTACATGGTACAATATTTTTTCATATACTTTTTTTTTTTTTTTTTAAAAGGCCTCTCTCCTTCATTTAACTTCTCTCGAAAGCTCGTTTGTATTAATGTTTCTGGTTTCTCTTTGTTTTGCAGTCAGCGAATTTGCTTCTGTTCGCTAGGGTTTCCTCGGAATCTCCAGTCTCCCAACTCCAAGAATGGCTTCTTGCAGGAAGTGATTCGACTTGAAGAGTTTTTGAAAGACCCTTGGGGCGTTAGGGTTTCTCGAGAAGGGACCGTGCAGGTCCCCTTACCTAAAGTCGCGCCGGTTCCGGCTGGGGATGTTGGTGGCGGCGCTGGTGATGCCGTGGATGAGGCGGCCTCTTTGTCGGCTCAGGCAAAGCGCCTCGCGCTTCAGAGAAAGGCTGCTGCCGCGATGGTGGCGGCTGAGCATTATGCTAGAAGGGTTGAGTCGGGTGATATTGCGGTAATATTCTTGCATTTGACTGTATGCATTTGTTTAGGTTACGTCTATATGTATCTGTACGGTATACATTAAGTTTTGCCTCTGAATTTATATCTTTGTTTTGAGTTACATCTAGTGGAGTGTCAATTTTGTTGTCATTTAGGGGCTATGATGTTCAATTTCAGCTACATGTATGTTTATATTGGTCAGTTGACTTTGGGCATATGTAGTGTGCAATTTTTTTTTGCCCAATTTAAGTTTGTTTTGCAGTCTGTTTGGATTGAATTCTGCTTTTGTGTGCTTCACTCTATTGGTTCTTCTAGTTTACTAAATAATTATATATGTATGAATTGTGATGATGTCTATATGTATAATCTGATTGATCCTTGATTTTGATACCGTAAAGCTTGCATTGTGTAGTGATCTTGGAAGTTGTGACTGTTATTGAATTTGAACTAGATTTTGGGTTTTATTTGTGATCGTCCGTTAGTCATTTTTAAAGAGTTCTTTTCACTTATTATTTAGAAATAAATATCTTTGCATGTCTATGTGAAACTATTGATGCATATTACTATGGAAAAAAGGATTCAGTGGTTGGATATTTTAGTTGATTTTGGTTTTTGTCTTTGGTAGTTTAATTTCATTTTGACTGGAAACAAAACTTTGTAAAAAATGAAAACAGGAAAGGGAAAAGGAAGGGGCCTATGTTGGAGGATGAGTTGGTCTCTAATTGCTCATTATTCTATGTACTAGTCCTCTTTGTTGGCTTTTCTAGAAGTGATGATTTTCTTTTCCTTTACAGATTGCATCAAAAAATTATGCCATAGAAGAGCAGGGTCAGTCCAACACAAATTTAATGTGTCGCATGTGCTTTTTGGGTGAAAATGAAGGAAGTGAGAGGGCAAGAAGGATGCTTTCTTGCAGAAATTGTGACAAGAAGTACCACAGGAGCTGCTTGAAATCTTGGGCTCAACATAGAGGTAATAAACTTTGTTGCCCTATTGTCTTTCAAGTCTGCAAGTAGCTGCTAGGATTTGGACTCAGAATAGAGGCACTATAATCTATTGCCCTGTTATCTTGCACTAGTGCAGTCTTATACATTTGGCATGATTGCAGATTTATTTCATTGGAGTTCCTGGACCTGCCCTTATTGTCGGACCTGCGAGGTATTTTATTATGCATATTAGTACCCATTTGCAACCAATAATGTTCAAATTTTTTGGTTGCATTCATTGCTATTCATCTCCTCTCTTTAGGTATGCCGAAGTACTGGAGACCCAACTAGGCTTATGTTCTGCAAAAGGTGTGATGGTGCATACCATTGCTATTGCCAACATCCATCGCACAAGGTTGGATGAGAATTGCTTGTTGCTTAGTTTATATCTTGTAATCTTGATTAAAATAGAATGGCTCACATAATCCCTGTATTTTGCAGAATGTTACTTCTGGGCCATATTTATGCCCAAAGCATACTAGGTGTCACAGCTGTGGATCCAATGTCCCTGGAAATGGTTTAAGTGTGCGGTATGATTGTTAACCCATAGAGAAGAAGCTTTTGCATTTAAAAATTTTTCCTATCTGTGCATATTGATGCTTCATTTTTCTTTTAAACTATTGGAACTCTTTAATATCGCTTGTGTCTTTTAGTGTTTGACAACTGATAGCTAATGATTTGTCCCGACCTTCTGCACAATCATTTCTTGTAGTATTAATATCCAGATTTTATCATTTTCTTATAAAACTCTCAGGTGGTTCTTGGGATACACTTGTTGTGATGCTTGTGGAAGGTTGTTTGTGAAGGGAAATTATTGCCCTGTATGCTTGAAGGTAAATTCATTCTTCCGATAATCATTTGTGTTTGGTTGGTCTAATTCTAGGTACATAAGTCCCCTGGCTTAGAGAGTTTGGAAACAATCCCTTCCCCTAAAATTTATTCCTTGATAAAAAAAGCAGAATTATGGGTATTCTGAACTACTTTTATTTGATCGATTATAGCAGCCATGTGAGTACTACTATACTTCATGATTTTTTAAAAAATGAGCTTTCTAGACATTTTGGCACAACTTTTCAGGTTTACAGAGACTCTGAATCGACACCCATGGTCTGCTGTGATGTTTGTCAGCGCTGGGTGCACTGCCAATGTGATGGCATCAGGTTCCTCGCTACCTTTGTACTTTTAAACAACTGCCAATCCAATTTCTGCTCTGTTATCTTGTTTATTGCAAGTTTTTGACTGTTGATTAATTTGAATAGGATAGTTCCTGTCACATTATGATTTTGAGTTTGACACTAATAGATGTGTATGAATTTGAGTTTTTATGCGGTCAATGTTGATGGTTTGTCTTTCAATGAGCATCAAGTCCAATGGGTTTATTCCTTGTAAATGTATAGGGTCAAAATGGATGGTTGAATTTCTCAAGATTTTTATAAAATTCTATCTGCATAAGCTATTTCCTTGCAAACGCTCTAATACTCCAGTGAAACAAGCAAATTCACCTTATTTCTTCTTTACGGCAACCGCACAAGTTTTGGATCATTGTTTATTTATGAAAGAAATGTTTTGCAGTGATGAAAAATATCTGCAGTTTCAAGTAGATGGAAATCTCCAATATAAATGTGCATCATGTCGTGGGGAGTGCTACCAGGTAGCTTTGAATTGCAGTGTTCCTTCCTCCCTCTCCTCTCATTCTCAGGAGGGAGAGGGTAAAGAATTGTTTTTAACTTATGACTGATGTCATAAATGTCTTACCAGGTTACAGATCTTGAGGATGCTGTTCGAGAGCTTTGGAAGAGGAGAGATGGCGCTGATCGAGACCTGGTTGCTAGCTTGAGGGCTGCTGCAGGGCTGCCAACTCAAGAAGAAATATTTTCTATCTCTCCATATTCAGATGATGAGGAAACTGGTCCTGTGATGTTAAAAAATGAATTTGGGCGTTCCCTGAAGTTCTCTCTCAAAGGGATAGCTGACAAGTCACCAAAGAACAGGGAATATGTAAAGACATCTTCAAGTAAAAAATATCTCAAGAAAAAGGCATATCAGGCTTCTTTAATTAGCAAAGGAGAATCACAGCTGAGTTTTGAAGGGAACCAGGATATCCAATCTCAAGGATACAGCTTGGGTGAGGACAGGAACAATGAAGTTGCGTCTCAGATAAATGAAGAACAAGATATTTCTTCTCCTGTTGCAGGAATTTGTTCTACCAAACAGCCAGGGGTTTTGAAACACAAGCTGGTAGATGAGGTGATGGTTAGTGATGAAGATAGAGCATCTCGTGTTCTTAAAATCAAAAGCAATAAACCACATGATTTAGATGGTGGAGATGATAATGGAAAACATGGTAGCAAGTCAAAGACTGTGAAAGCAAAGAAGTTAGTCATAAATCTAGGAGCACGAAAAATAAATGTTACCAACTCCCCAATGTCTGATGCTTCAAGCTTTCAAAGAGAACAAGATGTGATTTCTTATAATGGTATGCACTTACTTTCTCTGTCTATGAGATAACTTGAACTGCATGATTGTGCATATTATGATGATCATATTTTCCTACAGTCAGATATGCATCATTTACTCTGATGTGCTGTTAGTCTAGTAACCTCCTAGATTGCTACTTAATATGTCTAGCCATGCCGAAAGATCTGCATTAGGTGTGATAAACTATTATACTTTGATCTTAGTTATGTTTTTCTCGAACCCCTTTTATTTGTTAAGATTGTACTTATAAAAGAACAAGATATTATATGACTTGCAATAAATTGGTTTTTATTATCTCTGGTTCAGAGAGATTAATCTAAACGCTATTCTGCCTTTTCCTCTTGCTTGACTGATTATCAGGTGTTCAATATGCAAATCAACAGAGAATGGATGACAAGTTTCTGGATAGGCGTGACATTGCTGCTAAATCTGGTGATGGTAATATAGCAATGATGATCCATTGCTTTGCTGTTAAAAAGTTTAGTTGTTGTGCTGGCATTGGTGACCATTTGGAAGATGTTTTTCTTTGAATGTTCTATAATTCAGACAGTGAGAATGCTTTCTGTTTGCAGGAGACAGAGTTGATCACTCCATTAAGTCAAGAGGTGTGAAAATTGCGGTAAGAGAAGGGAATTCAATAAAGTTTGGAAAAATTAGGTCAGAAATTCCTGAATTGAGGTCCAAAGTCGGTGCAGCAAACAGTTCTGATGGGTATGGAATTGTTCCTCTAGAACACACACCCATTGCATCAGGAAAAGGAAGCATTGATGGAAGTAGGCTTGCTGCTGCACCTTCAGGTGAGGTCTCCACACTAAGAGGGGGCAAGGTGATGTCAGGAAAGCAGTTGGAAAACAGGGCTGATACATATGGTGAAAACAATGCAGATTATGGTCGCACACCTGTCTTGAAGCCAAAAGATCCCAAACCGTCTCTTAAATTTAAATTGAAGAAACCTAATCTTGAGAATCAGAGTTCTCAGGTTCATTCTGAGGAAGAAAAGCGTTCTATAAAGGGCCAAAGGTCAAAAAGAAAAAGACCGTCACCCTTCATGGAAAAATCATTGTTTATTGAAGATGAAGATCTAGATGTCACACAATCGCATCAAGACAGCTTAATGGATGGCATGATGGACGCTAGTTGGATTTTAAAAAAGTTGGGTAAAGATGCAATTGGAAAGAAAGTTGAAATTCATCAGGCCTATGACAATTCATGGTAAGATTTGGCTTCTCTTCTTCATTGAAAAGACCACAAGGCAATATCTGGGTGAACCATAGGCCTATGCCTCTCTAGATCTTTTGCTCATGATTAATCCAAGTCCCTTAACCCCACACCCCTCGTTTATTTCCATAGGCGACTGCAGAACATTTACACTTCTGAATATGATCTCTAAAAGAAGAAAGAATCTGTAGTGTTTTCAATATCATGAAGATAATTTGAGCTTCACCCAAAGTATTCTTTAATAATTGTAGATAGTAGATTCTTTAGGTATATTCCCTGAATTTACTCCATATTTTTCACATTGAACAACCAGGCATAAGGGAGCTGTTACTGACATCATTGAAGGCACATCCACGTTATCTGTCATGCTAGATGATGGTAGAGTGAAGACTCTGGAACTTGGGAAGCAAGGCGTTCGTTTTGTTCTTCAAAAACAGAAGAGATCAAAAATTTGAAACTGAAAGCCTAATTTATTCTTAGTGAGTGGTCTTGTAGAGATTTTTCCATTTTTTCCTGTTTTAAAATGTAATTTTTCGTGCTTTGTACGGATGCTACTTATTATAGCTTAGGGATTTTCTTTCGGGCAGTTCATTTTTCTAGTGAAGAATCAAGCCTGTCCATGAAGGTCTTATTATTTTTCTAGTGTTCAATTTTCTTTTGCGCCTCCTATCTCAATGGATGTATCTGAATTCACATTTGATCTTTAAGCGTAGCTCTCTCTCCCATCTCATTGCAGGTCATCAAACTTGTATCGTTTTCTCAATTAATCTAATGACTTAAAGCAACCCATTCCACGAGCCTTTTATCAATGTTTCGAGATTCAATGACAGAAAGAAAGATTGCAACCATTTCCTGATTACTTTATTACTCGGCATGACGTTATTTGTTAATGCAAAAGAATCACCTCAAACAAGTATGAACGTTCTGTTTTTTCTTCGTTAGTCCCTTCGGCTTAAAGGATTCAAATGGTTTTACTTTGCCATAATTTAAGAATTCACATCTTCACCTAGTAATGGAATGGTTTTGAAGCTACAGATGCTCAGGCTTAAAAAAAGGATTTGAATTGGCTGGATGTTTTTTGATTTGGCTGGCAATACCCTCCTAGTAAAAAGAAATGAAAAAGAAGGTATCATATATTTCTTATAATAATTATACAGGAGGGCATCGGCAAGTCCTTGGCAGACTTTGGGACATGTTGATACTGCAATATATGGTGCAACAAGTAGTAGACTTACACGCAGCGAGGTGATAGAAGATTGCTGCCCTTAATTGATGCATTTTGCTCCATTTTGTCATACAATTAATATCTTCTTGTTGTTTACACTTCTACTTTTAGATCCTTGAACGATAACAAGAATATGAGGATTCTGTTCTGGGAAGAGATAATGTCCAAGATGTGGGAAGGTAGGCAGTTTTGCCAGTTTCACAGCTTCATTGCAATTCTCCTTGTTGATCATGGGGAAGTGATGCTGTTAGTGGTCGTTGTAGATGGTTTTCAAAGCCTTGAGAAACATACCTGTGTTGTTACAATCTGTACTGATACTATTTTCTGTTTTAATTTGGTTATATTTCGATTGTCAACTTTTTTTACTTGGAGATTGGAAATGGTCTGTGGAAGCGCAAAGCCGCCTGACTCTGCTTGCAGCATTGCACAGTATGAAAATTGTTACGAGCCTTCTTACTTCTGCCTTCAGGAGAGTTAGGGCTGGATAGTTTGGCCTACAAGTAAACTACAAACCTCTGCTACTTTAAGCAGATCAGTTTCTTTAGCTTTTATCATTTTAGGGAATGCACTCCATTTATTAATTCAAAGAAGCTTCCCGATTGGAATCCTTAAAGTCTTATTAAACTTTTTCTTAGCGGGCTGGTACTTAAAACTTTACTTTCCTATTGAATCCATCTAAGTTCTCTCTTTTGATACAGTGAATGAAGTTCTGACACAGTTTTTGTTATTGCAGACACAATGAAATCCTGATTCAGTCTTGGATTCACCTATCGCAAGGGTGTCATCTGGTCGTGAAGATCTTTTTGCTAATGTACATGATTTACTGCCACCCCCATATGATGCAAGAGAACAGGAAGCATTGTATGCTTAGATTTGGCATGCCTTAGGTTCCAACTGATATAATCCCGAATGACAAATTTTTTGAAAACGGCCTAATTGGTCCCATTCCATTTTATATGCTTTGTACATCAACGGTTAATTCAAAACATTTTGCTGTCACTCTATGGTGATTAGAACCACTTGGACATTTCTAGTCACCTGTAAATCTGTGTGTTTCTTCACTTCCCCCACGTAGTCAGTTTTCTATAGCCATGCGGCAAAGTTTTGGTAGCCCTTGTGTTTGTAAAAGTTGGACTTACTGAATTGTAGCAATATATTTCATGAATATATTGTTGAGAAAGAAAAAGACATTTCATTTCATTTGTTTTGTTATACATGATATGTGCTGGTTTGTCCATGATCCTGTTTTTCTGGCCTGCCTTTATCTAGCAGCAAGGGATAAGAATTCAAAGTGAGGGAAGAAGAATAAATGAAGAGAAGGAATGAATTATCTGGAGAGAAATGCAGGAGTTCTCGTAATTGCTGGTCCCCATTTTCTGAAAATGTGAACCACCTAGGAGAGTTCATGGCCACCACAGTTTTCCACCTTGATAATACGAATGATGTGGCACTCAAATATTGGCCCAAAATTTTCTTTCGATAAGGTCTCCGATTCGGATGCTCCACCAACGACTTCATTTCTTCTCCTTCACGTTCCTAAACTAAGAATTTAACTAACTAGAAACCTAAACCCCTCAGAGTCAGAAACTCTTTGACGCCCGCCAAGTACCTGCAGAAAAATGGCTTCCATCACAACGACAGCATCATTACTCAGCAGCACCACCAGCCTCACAAAAGTTTCTCCCACAATTGCCCACCGTAGACTTGTGGTTGCCAATGTTGCCAAAGGAGCCCAAGTGGAGAGTGTTAAGTTGAGTGGTGATAGCAAAAGAGAGTGCAATAATGGCAGGAGGGAGTTGATGTCTGCAGTTGCAGCTGCTGCCGTTTGGTCAGTTGCTGGAGTTGCAGCGGCGGGGGAGCCAAAACCTGGCACCCCAGAGGCCAAGAAGGTGTATGCTCCTGTTTGTGTCACCATGCCAACTGCCAAGATCTGTCACAAGTGAGGCACTGCTGTAGTTTGGCTATGGCGAGTGCTAAATGATTTAATTTGCCAGTACTTGTAATCTTTAATTATATATCTCGGAGGAACCCACTTCAATTTAGTGCGTTATTTTGTCTGATGATCACAATGGATGCGTTGATGGTTGAGACCAACTTTGTATTTGTTTTCCCTTACCGTACGTTGTTTTATTTTGATCACTCTGGTCTGGTTAGAACTTTAACTCCACGAGTTATGAACTCGATTCTGAAATCATGCGCCCGAAAACTGAAACTCACTTGTTCTAGTGAACCGGGGATAAGCATGGTTATGTAAAAATAAACTCGATTCATATATTTGATAAGAATTCAATTATTTATGTTCGAATTTTGATTATTTATGTTCGAGTTTGAATTTGAATTCGAAATATTTTATTAATTAAAATAATAAAAATATATTTAAATATAAAAATTCGATTAAACTCGCGAGATATTTGAGTCAGATATAAGAATATTCAAATTCGACTTGATCGATAAGTCGAACTACTCGAATTCGAGCTCAACACGATAATAGTCTAACTAAATTTAAGTTTTCTTCGAATTGAATCTGAGTAACTTATAAATATTAATGTATCATTTATACTTCTAATCACATATGTATATATGGATCCTTCTTTAAAAGGAAGATAATCTTAATTGCAGTTCATTGACTTAAATAATACAAAAGAAACTAGTTTTTCAACATTATTTATTCAGAATTTTGAGATTTATTTGTTTGAAAGTTTAATTGATATTCAACTAATTAAAAAAAATCAGATAGAAAAGACCTTATTTATTTGAATTCAGAATTTGATTCATGCAATTTTTTTTGTAAAAAATTAATGAAATAAAATATATTTATTTATTTGATAATAAATACAAGTGATATTGGATAAAATTTATATGAAATTTTTTAAGTAAAATTTATAAAATTTAAAAAATAATTTAATAAAAATTTTAATAAAATTTTTTAATTTATAAAATTTAATATAAAAATCAATGATATATAAAAAATATTTAAAATATTTAAATTTAATATATATTTATTCAACGATAAAAATTTTATCAATATTTTTATTAAAAATATTTATCTAAAATTATATATCAAAATTTAATAAAACCTTTAAAATTTTTGAACATTTAATTTATATAATAAACATTTTATCAATCAATTTTAATTTTAACTTTTATTTAATAATTTTAATAAAAAATTTTACGAATTTCACGAACTTTGGGTTTAAATGTTTCTCCGCGGTACTACCCAAAAAACTACGAAGACCAATGGTGAAAGGGCGGATGCAACATGCGAAGCAGCTTGTGTTACGAAATTGTCCTCAAAAGATCCCTAAAATTACGAATTATCACTTCCGCGGCTCCACTACGCCACCCCCTCTTAAAATCCCCTTCGCCGACTACAACAGATTCAGAAACCAAGAAAAGCATTCGAAGACTCAATAAAACCATGGAAGCAGTCCACGACTACAACACTTGTTGGAACTCCTCCACCAACTGGTATATAGCCCATGGTTCTCTCCTTAATTCCGTCACGTTCGAGTCATCTTTTATGTCAATCGCCGACTCCAATCAACATCAAGACGCCCTCGATTCCACTCCCAAATCCCCCCTTATCTTGTGCCCTACTTCGCCTGATTCGGCCTCCTGCGAGATCACCAGTGAGTCCAAATTTTTATCATGTTCCTATCCATTATTCTCTCTTTAGTAATTTCAGTTTTTTTTTCCTATCCGTTATTCTTGAATTTATTTATTTATTTTTACATTGATGCTTGTTAAGTAAGCAATGCGAATTTTATTAGCATTAGGGTTAGTAGAATTTATTTTGACATTGGATAAATTCAAGCGACGATAAAGAATTTCCAAAAATATCCTTTTTTTTTTTTTTTCAATTTCTTATATTCCTTACTCGCCTTGTGTGAATCATCTTATGCTACAGTTGCTTTTGCACAAAAACATGAAGTACGACAGGTTTATGTCCGAAGTACTGCTCGAGTATATGAAATATACTATGCTCCTAAATCTCAGAGCAGCAATGAGTATCTATGCACTGTTCGCTGTGGTATTGCCTCCAGAGATGAAGAGGTGCTTCGTGCAGCCAATCTTGATGAAGCTGCTTTGGCACATCTAAAGGGAGCCAATAAAGAGTTGGATGAAAAGAGACAAAAAATTGGCGGCAATTCGAACTCGAATGAAGATGATTGGGTTGAAGTGAAAGCTCCTGATACTCCTATGCTTGATTGTGGAAGCAGCCTGCCATCAAATTTTAGTGTGAACTCACTTAGCACACAGGTGAGATTGTTTTTTCCTTGCAGATTCATCCAATCAAAGCTTCCTTCTTTCCCCTTTCTTAGCATTCTATGGTGTTAAGCGCTTGTTCTTGGTAATTTCAAAAGGAAAAGGTTAAAGAAATGTAACAACTAATGAGGCAAGTTAACATTATCAACTTAATAGGAATGAGTAATTTTAATTATCAGCAGGAGTTAGTTTGGAACATGATTACTACGTGAAAATCTTAGTTTTAGGGGGAAAATAGGAACTTTAGAATAGCCCCTTCTTTCCCCCTTTTCTGTTTTTCTCCTCTCCAAACAAGAGACTGTCACAAGAGTCACCTTTAGACATAGAGTCATAGTTGTGTCTTTATTTTAGTCCATTGCTGATTGATGAAATTTTTCAGGATTTATATGAGGCTACCGCTGAGATCACCGATGCAAACCCCTGCATGTCTATTACTCTCCGCTTGCTTTTACTTCAGAATAAAGGCTGCATATGTGTTGATGAACTCTATTTGTTTGCTGATCCTGTTGAATTATCTGATTCTGAAAATGAAGTGGGTCAGACGGGAAATGCAGGTGGAAGTTCTCTTATGGCTATGCTTGCTCCCACACTTTTGCAGTTATCTAAAACAGCAGGTCTTCGCCACATACAAAATGAAGACATTTTTGGCTCAAAGGAAAAAGAAAAGACACAAGAAAATGGGTCAAAGGCTGTTGAATCATTAAAGTTTGTAATCCAGCCAGAAGGAAAACCCAGTTTAGTCAATCAGCATGAAGTGGACTCGCTGGAAGCAATTGCATCAACTATTGAACCAAAACAACATCAGATCCCCCCACTTAAAGATAAAGAAGCCAAGGCTGATTTATCATGTGGGCATATTGAGAGATTCCTGGATCAGCTTGTTTCTCGAGTCAGCAGAGTAGAAGATCTCCTATTAAAGTTTGAAGAGAACATGCTAAAGCCCATTAGCAGCATTGATGCAAGGCTCCAGCAGGTAGAGCGGCAGCTTGAAGAACTCAGTAAGAAACCTAAGAATTCTGAATTGCCATCTTGCACAAGATATTCTGCACCTGAATTTTCATGTCACGATTCAGATAATGACACTCCTTATAACATTGGAAATGAATTTTTGTGCTGCGATTTATGTGCATCACATGAGAAGGATTTTTCATCATCTATCCAACCTGATGAAGCCATTGATTCTGTAAATGATACTCGGTCATTCCCAAGTCTTGTAGTCACTGCTTCTGAAATTTCTGATGTTGATGACGAGGAAGACGATCATGCATCGGGAACTGATTCTCCTAAGGATAAACCAAAGCAGACTATGTCAATTGATGATGCATTAGCATCTGCCCTTGCCAGATTCCTGTCTTCAACTTCAATTGAGCCTCAGAAATATACACAAGCTCTTGCTGTAAAGGCCCCTGAATTTTTACATGAAGAAGATGGCAGCATTGACAAAAAAGTGCCACCAGAATCACATTTTGGCGTAACATCTGAACCTTGCAGTCTTGACACAAGAGATACAATGGATTCAAGAACAGCATCAGCGTCCTCCAACTGTCCTTTAGAGAGAATAGGCGAGGCGACATGCTTTCTAAATGACGATGATTCTGAGCAAACAGCCAAAGAAGTTGTTGAAGACTGTCAAGGGCAAGGTACTTGCCATGAGACAGTTGACTGCATAGTTACTCCAGCCAGACATAATATGCACCAGATAGCGGGAGACGTGGGAAATGGGGAAGTTAGCAGTGGAACAAGCAAGATTTTGGTTCTTGATGAAGCTGATATTCTCAACCAATTCCTTGAAAATCATGTCGAGCAAGGAGCTCCTGGAAACACGGAAATTAAAGCAGAAGTCACCAAACAAGGACCTCTTGAAGAATTTCTGCAGAATGTTCTGGAATTATCAAATGCTTCTTCTGTAGTGGATTTTGAAACTCCAATCCTGGATGTTAAGTTTACTTCTCAAGACAACTCCAAGTACAAGTCTCCCCTTGAAGCCCTTTTGTCTCACATGCCAGTCACAGATACTGTTGCTTCTTGCTCTAAGGTAAGTGATGATGGTTCTCAAGCTGGTGAAGAATGCAACTTGATTTCAGTAGGGGGTGAGGAGCCGGCATGGCCGGCAACTGCTGGTCATTTTTCACTGGATTTGGATGGTTACGCTTTAGAGGTTGAAAACCGGGAGGATTATTATGCATGCAGCAACCAGGAAATTTTGGCAACAAGCCTTATATGAAAGAGAAGTGCTACTTGTGTCCTAAGATCTTGTATTGGAAACGCAGATTGATGGGGTTGGCAACAGAACTGAGTTACAAGTCGATGATTTTGTCAATTCAAAGTACATACTTTATTACTTAAGGGCCCGCCCGTAGTCGCATATAGTGGGCTATGATTTTTTTTTTTTTTCATTTTGATTGTATTTGTCTTGAGGATAATAGTAAATCGATACAGATATATTCAAGCAAATTTAAAGGTATTGATTAATTAAAGCCGAGTGGCATTTATCATTAGTTTAATTATTAATATATTTTTTATTTTTATTATTTGGATTGAATTAAATATAGGATTTATTAAGTTCACACGTAGACGCAGTTGAAAAAAGAAAAAAATAAATCTAGACGGTAGTAGACACGGAGTTGGCACTGGCACTTGTGCTTTCCCAAAATGCATCATCCGTTTTGAAGCGAGGAGCTCCAACGTAAGCGCTCTAACTAAAACCCTAGACATCAAATCTAGGGCTTTTCCCCTACCCATATCTCTATTTATAGATTGATAGTTAGGGTTTTGGTTTTTGGGGCTCGTTGTGGCCAGATGGAGGCGGCAGTGGTCGATGCTGGCTCCAAGCTTCTCAAGGCGGGACCAGCAATCCCTGATCAGGCTCCCTCCATGGTATGTTTGTTTTAACATCTCCCCTATAATGGTTAAAGAAACACCAACAAAGAAATATATTTAAAAAAAAAAAAAGGTTTCTTTAGAAAGTTTCTCAAACCAAAATTTAGCTTTTGATTTGGGGAGAGCTTGAAACCTGTCTCTCTCTCTCTCTCTCTCTCTCTCTCTCTCTCTCTCTCTCTCTCTATTCCTTTAATCTCTTTCTTTACAAGGTTTGAGTAAGTGTCGCCTCTTCGCTTAATTTTGTGTTTCCATTTTGGTTAAATTACTTGTACGTGATAGGTATGGCACTCTAATTCTTTGAATTGTGGTCAGGTAATTCCTACTAAAATGAAACGCATACTTGAGGATGGATCCTCAGCTGATAATTCACTGTTTGAAGATGTCTCTATCGATCCTGTTGTGCGAGGATTCATTAGAGACTGGGATGCCATGGAAGATTTGTTGCACCATGTTCTATACACTGGCCTTGGATGGGAAGTTGGGAATGAAGGGCAAATCTTGTTTACAGATCCGCTTTATACTCCCAAGGTTAGCCATCTTTATCTTTTTCATTCCATATTTTCTTGCTAATTTTGATCTTCAAGTGAATCTTTTTCTAATTAATGGAATGGTGATGAACAACATGCACTTCTATCGAAGGTTTTACATTTGCCTATTTTTGAGAAAAATAGACTACGCTAGTCTCATGCTAAATGCAGATTTGGTTTATCTGCTGTAATCCTGGCTTTTAATTGGTAGAAGGGATCTAGAAACGGTTAAACCACTTTTAATATCCCCATATTCCCTGCCATTTCCATTTTACTTCTCTTGAGTTGAAATGAGGTAACAAAAGCAGCTGGAGCTTATTTGACCCGGTTTGCAGCTGCTAGAAAAGATGATTTTTATGGTAGGGTTCTTTTTTTCCCAAAGTGTTGAGGATCGAATTTATTGCAACAACTAGGAAATATTTACTAATTCGTTTAGAAAATTGTGAATGTTGTTTGGCCCATCTTCAGCCGTTTGTAATAAAGAAGCTGCTCCGGAAGTTTGGTCAAACATACACCATGAAGGATGCTATGTTGTTGTTGTGGATATATTTTATTGTACTGTTGCTCTTTTGTTAGGTATTGATTATAGTCAACTTCAGATCAAAGCTCCCAAATTATTCTCTGTTACAATTTTTTGCCCTAACTTTCCAGCCAAATCTGTTATTCTTTGGGGTTGATCACCTTGTAAATAAATGGTGTAAAATCATTGTACTTTTTGTTGTTCCAGGCTGTCAGAGAACAACTGGTGCAATTGCTGTTTGAAACTTTTAATGTCTCGGGATTTTATGCATCGGAGCAAGCAGTATTATCTCTGTATGCTGTTGGGCGTATCTCAGGTTGTACTGTTGATATTGGCCATGGGAAGATAGGTATGTACATACATGCATGCCTTTAAGCGTGTCAGGTTTAATTCTTTGGCTGCTTAGTTTGATAATCATTTATGTAGTGGAGAAGTTAAAATCCATTTACTCGTATCAGTGTAAATAAGAGCAGCATAATGATTAGTATCAAGTTCTTTTAAATGCATAAGAAAAGAAATAACAGCCTTGAATATTGAGTAATTCCAGGAAGTGAAAGCAAAATATCTTACTGGTAAGCATTTGGCATATCTTATAGAGTTAGAATTTAGTTATGGATGATAGATCAGGAATCACATTCAATTGGCTTTCAAGTGCAAAGATTTTTTCATATTATTTTAATTGGTTTTGTGTTCTGCCTTGTGAATTTTACACTTATCAACAGACATAGCCCCGGTACTTGAAGGTGCTGTCCAACACATTGCCTCAAGAAGATATGAAATTGGAGGGATTGATTTGACAAAGTTACTTGCTCAAGAGCTGGCTAAATCTAATCCTATGGTGAACCTCAGCATCCCTGACGTTGAGAAATTAAAAGAGCTTTTCTCATGTTGTGCTGAAGATGAAGTTGCTTATGACAGAACCCTTAAATCATGTGAGACAGAGGAACACACCCTGCCTGATGGACAGGTTTGTTTTTTTCTTGTTTTCTTTCTTTTCTCCTTGTTTAAGTTTCTGATTTTGACCTAAGTCCTTAAATCTTACTGTGGACCACTAGACCGGCCTAAGATTTGCTGGCTCATTATTTCTCATATTATTTGAAGTACTAGAAGATTGACATAAGGAGTTGTTTATGTAAGAAATTTTGCACGTTATACATGAGAAAAAGAAGTAGAATGTTCTTAATATGGTTCTGTAACCAGGATGAAAAGGCCAGGAAAGAAAGGAAGATAAGAAAAACTGACCAAGGATAATATATGATATGTGAATGACTTTGGGTTTGTGAGAGGTGAATATTTTATGATTTGTCATCATCAATTCTATGTCTTGTATCTGGTTGTAGTGTAGTCAATCATTTATTATGATGGTTTCTATCAAACTTCAAGCTGTTAAATTTTAGAAAGATAATACAAATTAGAATCAGCAGAACATGGTCAGAATACTGCAAGATATGGAGCTTATCAAACTGAACAAAGAAACACCTTTACCTCTTATATGCCTTTTTGGTTCTATGGACCTCTTAGTTTTTTACCCACATCTTGAAGAGATTTATAATCTTGCTACTTGCAATTTGGATTTTTTTAAATTAAAATTACAGGTTTACCAAGAAGCTGAAGAACTGAGCCCAGTTTTGGAGAATAGCTTAGTGCACACTCTACGAGTTATTGAGATATCCTAATGATTTCTAGTCTATGGAACTCTAGTTTTTCATTTAATAAGATGACGGCTCGCTCAGTGACTGGTCTGTCTTACATGCATTATTGTTTTTCCTTGCTTAAACCTGTAACCTACTTATACATTTAATCCCACTAGCTTATTTTCAGCATGCCCCATGTTTCCGGTCAAGTCTACTGCATTTAGGATCTCCAAGTTGTTGTGTTGCTGATTGTAATACTTTTCAAATGCCAATTCAGGTGATAAGAATTGGAAGGGAAAGATTTACTGTTGGTGAGGCATTGTTCCAACCATCTATATTGGGTTTAGAAACTCATGGAATTGTTGAGCAGCTCGTTCATAGTATTTCAACAGTTTCTTCTGAGAATCAGAAGCAACTGCTAGAAAATACTGTTCTTTGTGGTGGGACTACTTCTATGACTGGTGAGAATCATATCCTTTGATCCTTGAGATGTTTGGATAATGAAGGAGGATTATTTCTTGATTGATATAAGATAATTGTCAAGAATAGTTTACATAGGCATGATCTTAACCATGACATAGTTCCCTTAGAATTTTGAATGCAAAATGTTGGTGTAGGTGCTTTGATGTTGATATGTTGCATGTTGACTGTTTGCTTCACAGCTGCCAACATGTTTGTCTTTGCTTATTGCAGGTTTTGAAGATAGGTTCCAGAAAGAAGCGAGCCTGTGCTCATCTGCTATCCGTCCTTCTCTAGTGAAGGTAATATATTACATGACCAATGTAAGCCGATACTATATTTGGAAATTCTCGCATGGTGTAGAAATTTATGCAAAATACATCAGTCTAATTATGTATACCTTGCTTTCTAATTGTTTGCATTAATCTTTCTGAGTTTTTTGTTGCAGCCTCCAGAATATATGCCAGAGAATTTGACAGTGTATTCGGCATGGGTGGGAGGTGCAATTCTTGCTAAAGTGGTGTTTCCACAAAACCAGCATGTAACGAAGGCAGATTACGATGAGACTGGACCTTCTGTTGTTCATAGAAAGTGTTTTTGATTAATTTTACTTTGAGTGAGCTAAGTTCTTGTTCACAGCTTTCTGTCTGTATTATATTAGGATACTAATGGCTGTAGAAAAACCAGAAACTGAAAATTGTGTTTAACTGATGAAGAAAAATGCACGCTTATGTTACTGATATCAGTGTAGGTGAGTTGGTATTTCTTTAATTTCAAGGATCAGCATTTCCCATTCTGGCTTGGAGCAATTTATCCAGTTAATCAGAATTGTTATGTGCTATCTTCGTCATACTAGACTCCTTCCTCTGTTTATATATGTTCCTTTTTGCCTTAATATTTATTATTATGAAAGGCCTAATTTAAATGATTGCGAAAACCCCTTAATTTAAATGTATCCATTTGTTGTGGCAACAATTTGATGGCATTCTGATATTACTCTAAGCTTCTTTATTGTTGTAATTGAAAACAAAAGGAAGAATACTTTTCGAAGACATTGATTGAATGCTTTTGCAGCAGTTTCCCTTCTCTCAATCACTAAGGTAATGTTTGGATAAATATTACTAAGGTATTTGGATAAATATTTAGAGGAAAGAAAAAGAAAGTTTTTTAAAGAAAAAGAAAATAAATATTTACAGAGGAAAGAAAAAGTTTTTTAAAGAAAAAAAAATGAGATCTATATTTCTTGTTTGAATAATTAAAATTAATAAAAGAAAGAAAAAAAAATTTAACATGATAAAGAGTAAAAAAAAAAAAGAAATGATTCATTATAATAATTTTTTTCAATTATAATATTTTATTACTTGTGATTTTAAAGCACTCTTGGATCAAGATATGTTTGCTATCTTATATGATCTCACAATTGTTACTACATCAGTAGTTTTTAATCAAGTGAAACTTAAAGATATTTTATAAATATGCACTGATGAATTTTTTGGTCATTATTAAAATTTTAGCACACTATCACTTTGATAATATATTTATATAAAAGCTATTAAATATAAAAAATACAATCACATAAAACTATTACACATCATAAACAAAAAAAGACTATTTATATTCAATCATTTATCAAAATCAAATTATCAAAAAATTATAAAAAAATTTTATATTAAAAAAACATATGAACTTAAAAAAAAAGAGATGACTTTAAAAAAATTATAAAAAAAATTATGATGTAATCATATTTTTTTTATTAAGTTTTTAATATTAAAAAAATTAATATAATAATTTTTTTATATAAATAAAAATTTTTTAATTTTTTTTCTTAGTCTTTTTCTCGAATTGGGATATTAAAAAAATAAAGATTACAAAAGAAATAAAAAGTTATTAAATTTTCATCTCTTTTTTTCTTTTAAATTAAAAATTTATCAAAGCAAAAAAAAAAATTATTTTCATTACTTTTTTTTTTTCCTATAGTTTCTCTCAATCCAAACATAGTGCCAGCATTTTTCAGTCTACTTACATACCTATTTCCATCCCGAATTTACCCCATTTCATCATTCTAGTCAGGCGGGCATAATCTCAAGGAACAGCAGGCACGAATAAGTTAGATGGAATATGGCGTGTGCACAGCACAACCGCAGCTAGCCATAGTGAGTCAAGGAACTGTTCTATCATGATCATGAGAACCTTGATTACTAAGGTGAGAGACTTGAGTTGGCAACTTAAATTACATAGATTAAGACGTTGATTGGTTGTCGTTGGTCATGTCCTGGACCAGATTCATTTTCCCACGAGTTTCTGGTGTAATTTTTCCGCAGGTTGCTACTTGGTACAATGTTTTTCTTGTCACCTGTGAGGGAGGCTCAGGCTATGATAACATTAATGCTGCTCTGCTTTTGGATTAGGATTTGTCCATCTTCTAATGCTGCTGGTACTCAAGTTCACATCAGTTTATAAGCCAAATTCACTAAGAAAGGTTCAAGTGATGTACGTACTTCACGAGTCATGACAGCTTGTTTGGTTTTGATAGGACCATCCTACTACATCTACATCACGTAGCCATCTTCATCCGTCTCATTCATTATTTGATTGGCTCCAAGGCCTTAGACCCCATAGGAACTTCTTTCCCAATCATTCTCATTATTATTATTATTATTATTATTATTATTATTATTCCTTGAGAAAAGAAAGACGCTTTAACTTCTCGTTCACGTTTATTCTTCCTATGAGACTTTTAACTACAAGCCACAAAACATGGCCCGCGGCTAGTCCATGGAAAGAGTACTTTCTTCTACCCTTTTCAGGGGAGACGGGCAAAAACGGGTGGTCTCCATTGGATCCCTGCAATTTAGGATTCAAGAGCTTTACGTTTTATTAACCATTTACCTTAAGTCATTGAGGAAGGAAACAAGCCTAAAAACTACAAAGGAAATCCATTAACAGCACTCAGATTGCATTCTCATCTTAGAAGGTTCTCCCACAAGACACACTTTGTTAAAATTTTGTATGTACCTTAGCAGATATAGAATAAACTTTTTTAAAGTTTACTTTTCACACAAACTTGGAGAAAAAAGGGAAGACTAATTTGTTCTAGTACAACAAACATTGTTAGAAGAAGCATCCAAGCATCCGTTGGACTTGGGGTAGGTGGTAAAGGTGTGAAACAAGTTGGGGTAGGTTTAAGATTTGGTTTTAGCGTTTTTTTTCCTTTTTAGGGACAGGACAAGCCATTAAAACCAAAACCGGTTGCTTGGGGTTAACGCCACCTTTTGCCTCTTAGAAATGACAGCAAATAATTTCCAAATAATGAATTCAACAATGCTGCTAACCTTGCTTCAATAAGTATCCTATGAGTGGTTTCAGCTTGCAAGTAGTGTTCTGATTTTTTTTTTCTAATCCACGCCCGAGCCTATAAACTTGAAGTTGGCCTGAGGCTTTAGTGCACTGGTCAACTCGTCTTCGATTTTTTTTTATTCTGCTAGATATCTAGAGATGGAGATCAAAACCCTAAAACCAAAGCTACAGCTAAAATAGACATTTTTAAAGTTTCATGAGCAATGCTAGTTTTTCTTTTTTGTTGATTTGAATAAGAAAATGAGGTGAAAAAGTTAAACTTGATGTGAGCAGACACTTGGTCACTTCTTCATGTATGAGTGATCAGATTTTTAACAATGAGATTCGGCTGCATTTTCAAGAAGGAAAAGTAGAACATTCCTCTGATTGTCTATCTGTAAGATCATAGAAGTTTAAAAGGCTTTAAAGGGGAAAAACAATCAAACAAATGTGAAAAGGTGTGAATTATGTAATGTGACCCAAGACTACACAGCCACAGCGCACCATCAAGCCAAAATCCGAAATCATCCCATCCGTACTTCCGAATCTGATTCATAACATACTCCACACAGTAAAATATAAAAGCAAATGGACAATCCAATCCTAATAAAAAAAAAAAAACCCCACAAAGCTATAACCATCTACGTTTCTCTTCTCTTTGCCCCACCCCAACTTGTCTCAAGCCATATTGCATGTTTTTTTCATGTGGTGAATGGCCATAACAGAGGGAAAGAAAAATTATTAGTACTTTCAGGGACTTTTTTTTTTTAAAGAATTTCTCACTATTCAATTGATTCAAATGGAGTTGCAACATATATATTATCATGATTCATGACTATATAAATGGGTAATCATGATTTGGGATCTTAGGAATTTCCCAGCAGAGAGATGGGCCACCTTTGCTGTGCTTTTTATTTTGATTAATGTGGAACTATATATACTAACATAAATCTTATATATGCATATATAAGATTGCTGATTAAGATCTAACAGCTTGGGGGTTCCCCACTTCCAGTAGGCTCTGATAATTGGTCCATTTCCCAAGTTTGTGTGGGTGCAACCTTGTCATGTACTGGTGCGTACTCCTGCAAAATAACAAACCCTTCCTTAGTACTTCCTGCAACTTTATTATGTCATCGTACAATAATTCACCACATGTTTAAAAGTTATAAGCACCAGTACTGAACCAACTGCATTTTTTCTTACGTAAGATATATGTATATACCTCCATCTTCCTCATAAGTTCTTCAGCTGTATCTGCAATAACCACGATATGTCTTGCCGAACTGTCAATAAAACCTTCTTCAACTCCCTTGTCAAATAAAGCAAGCAAGCTGTTATAATACCCCTCCACATTCAACAATCCAACCTGTTTCACAATTCAAAATTAGATGAAAGATTTCTTTCTTTTAAATTGCAAGAAATTTTAAAGCTATGATCTAAAAAAACCAAACTTTTCAATAATAAGTAGTAATTAATAATAGAATAAGACCAAACTAACCGGCTTCTCGTGGATTCCTAATTGAGACCAGGTTATCATCTCTAGCAGCTCTTCCATGGTACCATAACCACCTGAGTACGTTCTTGAATTTGCTTAAAGAAAATTGACACCACAAATTATCCCAGAAAAAAAATGGGAATTTTATAGGAAACATACCGGGAAGCGCAATGAAAGCTTCAGCATGTTTTGCCATTTCCGACTTTCTTTGATGCATGTCTGCAACTGTTTTCAGTTCGCCAACAGTTTCTCCGGATATCTGCAAGGAAGTTTTTTTTTTTTTTTTTTCCCTATTTGGTGAATAGCTTCCAGCTTCATTTTTTGAGATGAAAAAATAGGCAAAGTATGCAACATGAGGAATAATGGAGCATCTATGTATACAATAGTACCTCATGGGGCAAAAGAGCTTTAGGAAGCACTCTACAGGAACCCAAAAGGGAAAAAAAAGGAGAAATAGGTGAAAATTTTCCCACAAGACCATAAAGAGTATATATAAATATCTATGCATCAATTTTAGAGATAAAAGGTGTACCCAAGTACATGGCAACCACCGTTAAAGACAGTCTGAGAGATCAAGCCCATTAACCCTACACTTCCTCCACCATAGACCAAATCAATCTTTCTTTGAACCTAGCTAGGATCAAAGAAACATCAATCAACATATATACATTTATATGATCAGATGTCAAAACATTTTGTATCAGAGTGGTACGTACATACATGCATGCAAAAGTGCCTGAAGTTGAGGACATAGAAAGGTAATGTACGTACCAGTTGTTTACCAAGCTGAAGAGCTGCATCACCGAAAGAGGCCTTGTTTCCCACTCTACTACCACAAAAAACACATATTCTTTTGAATCTCCTTTTCTTTTCAGTTGTGGTGGTGGATGTTCCTTCTCTTTCCATTCTGCCAAGAAGCTATATATTTGTACAAAGAAAAGAGTTGGAAAAGTGATGCTTGAGCAACAGACAGAGAATTCAAATGCACAAAAGACAATTAAGTATTTGAAGGAAGGCGCAGACGGAGAACGGACCCCTGCTTTTGAACCTCTACATTTTACACCTTTTATCACAATCATTCATCAACACTTGCTTTTGTCTGATTAAACAAGTACTTCCGTCGAAGTGCCCAGCCAGACCCCTCCATCTCCATCCTTCCTCTTGCTAATCATCCTTTCTCTAATTATACAACTATTTTTAGTATTTAGAATTTAGCCATTCCCTTTCCATTTTTGTCCATTTTGGTCACTTCAATGGCATTTTTTTTTTAATTTTATAGATCATTAATTAATTTCTTACTCTTAGTTTTAAGCATAAATATATAGTTAGTTGAATATATGTGTATATATATATATATATATATATATATATATCCAATAGACTGAAATTGAAACCAGTGACTAAATGCATCCATCCTGTTTCGATATTCACCATATTTCTTCATATCTTGTTTTATTTAATTTTCATATTAGTTTGTCGCCAGTCGGTTGTCACCCGCCTTCTTATTATATTTTACAGGTAATAAATTGCTTTTATGTGTACGTAAGGAATTCAACTGATCATCATATATACATACATATTTACAAGCAAGATTTATTTTTCAATTTGCTACTTTAATAATTCGATAACAATGGAATATTAGTAGGATTAGGAAAATACTATTACTCAAAAGTCGTTACACGTGCAAATCATTCAACTACGTACGCGTAAACATATACATAAACATATTTGGAGTTTCTAATTATTAATTTAGAAAAATAATGGACTTGAGATGATAGGATCCAATTAAACTTATTTGTTTCATCCATATTTTGATCCATGACACCTGTCCATTTTGGAAAAATAAAAAATCACTACGTTGTACCTTTGCGTGGAACGGGTTCCAACATTCGGACGAAGGTGGAGTGAGGTCATTAGGCGTGTGGACAAATTAAAGCCAAAAATTAAACTGATTGGAGACGTCCCACTCCTTCTGCAATCAACAGGTAATCGCAAGCAGTACCACATACATTCCTGTTGGCCCAACCCAAGCTTCTTTTATTTTATTTTTTAAAATTTTTAGAGAAAAAATAAATCAAAGAAGATAATGTATTTGACAACAGTACAGGCTCGATATGTAGCTGCCTCTGACAATGCTTTTGGAACACATTGTTAAATCTAAACTATTATCTATACTGCACCACTTGTTAGTCATATATTGCCCTGCTATATATATTATTTATATATATATATATATATATGAACCCAAAACCTTACTTGGACCACATATGAGTTAGTGGACCCAAAGCCTTCCTTGGACCTTATTTCCTACCCTCAATCCATCATACTCTATCATGTTGGCCTCATATCATATATATTATTTGTCCTTGGTCCAAAATAAAATGTACAAATAAAAATATTTCTTCCCTTTTTTCCAAAAATGAAATAAATTATTGACAATTATTTTATGATCAGTTTCATTTCAGTGGTAACACTAAAATTTTTTTTGACAATTAGCTATAGCTAGGACGCCACTTTTCTCCAACTTCCTGAACTCAATCCTTGATTTGTTAAGCAATTGATTTTAAATGAACGATGTTTTCTATAGGTAATCAAAGCTTGATTTTGCAGGTTTATGTTTGTAAATGGATGGATGATGAAGTTTCATCCACTTGTTTATCAGGCGAGCAATGCCCCATCACCATAAATGGAAAAGCAATGGAGGGAAAAGATCAGACAGTGATGCATAACCAAAAAGAAGAATTAAAAAAAAAAAAAAAAAAAGGGCACAGAAGCTGTGATGAATCAATCCCTCAGGCTTGCCAAATATCAACCCAGCATGAAACTGAAACACATGGTTTGGTTGGTTCCTCAACCTCCGCAACTAAAAGGGAGCACCAAATATTCACGTGTGTTTCAGGCACATTTTCTGATTACTAAATATTTCATCATAGGGATCATATCACAACAATTCACCCTTTAAATACTGTATGAGACAACTTCTTTTAAAAAAAATAATAAAATAAAAATCCCCATTTTTGTAGTAACCAAAAAAGATTGTGAAAAATAAATCTACATCTGTAGTTAGAATCTTTGATAGACTGGAAGAGAAATATGGAGAGAAAAATAAAGCAGAGATGGAAAACAAAGGGAACAAGAATTGATTCAAAGCAGCGCTTCTTCAACAAAGTGAGAGAGAGCAATAGCCGAATGGATTTCTTGTAGGGTTTTTGGGATCCTCCCCTTGGTTGTCGGCGTTTTTGTTTCCCTTCTGTGACTGCCGTCTCTCGATGCTATGGGGCCGACTTTTGGGCTTAAGATTATTGCTATGCTAATACTAGCCTTCTTTTATGGGCCTTCTTCTAGCAATCAAATTTTTTCCACGTCTTCGCTTTATTATGTACAAGATAATTACATTATTGTATGGTATACTAGTGTGTGGGTGTGGGTGTCAGTGTGGGTGCGGTGCGTTTTGCATGTTCATGGGTCATTCGATAATTGATTATATTCGATGAGTTTATAATAGATTATTAAATAGGGATTCCATGCAAGAATTGAAAGTGCGTTCTTTTGGCCAAAAAATAATACTAACAAATACTTAACATAATTATGTACTTTTTAGGAGCATTAACTGTGAACCGAAGCCTTAGACTCTAGTTGAGTGGTTCATGGAAGCCTAGATGCCAAATATTTCTCCCATGATAACCCACTTGTATTAGTATTAAATTTTAACTTGTCTCGTGGAGGAATCTCAAATTTTTTTTTTTTTTGTTGGATAATTGAGGAGGAATCACAATCATGAAGGCAGAAGAAGCCTCAGAAGTTTAGAAAGTCATGTGCATAAACTACGTAATTCATATACTTACGGAGGCAACAATGCTTGAGCTTGATTAAATCTTAATCAACTCTTGTTGAAAAGCTATATATATACAGAGAGAGGCATAAAAGAGGGATCCAGATTTTTTATCATTGAATCAAAATTCAATTCCTAATATTTACATTTAGTCATTTTGATCCAAATGTAAAAATAAATATAGCACTTGCGCTGATGTGTGTAATTCTTTCCTTATATATACATAGGGAGAGAGAATGAAGTGCAGAATGTAGATTCCGCAACTGGATTCAGTCTTCCTTCTAACAAACTGGATTCAACTATCTTGGTTTCAAACTTCAACAAATAACCATAACCAACCGTGTAACACACGCCAAACTGTGGCGTCAATAGCCATGAAAAATGCACACTTCCACTCTCCACGAAATAATCATCACATCCTCCACACAATACACAGTACCCACACGGCCATCACATTTGAGAGAGAGAGAGAGAGAGAGAGAGAGAGAGAGGAGACAGCAGCAGCAGCAGGCACCATTTTACATTATTAAGGCCACATTGATGGAAAAGTTAAAAACTCCTCCTCAGTCATACACAAGTCTCACTCTCTTTGACACGTTAAAATGTAAGTTGCTTAAAATTTAGCACATTACTTGTTAGATACAACACCTATTTATCTTTTTACAAAGAGGGCAATGGGAGGGATGTCCAACTACTAGCGGATGAAGATAAAAGACCAACGACCGCATATCTCCTCCCATAATAACCCTTTAACCATGAGTAACCAAAGCCAAGAATGAATTGCCTGAGGAACAACACTCTGGGAGGGATTCTGCCACCCAAGACCTTGCCTATACAGAAGAGTATTCCCCCATTAGTTAAAAAAACAAACAATAACCTAGTCCATCATACAATGAAAAAATAGGAGTTAACAAACACCAAACCTACAGAGCAATGCTGGAGAGAGCCACCCACCTCAAGGGGGAATTTCAATTAATTGAAGGGGCCCCATTCCCTTCCACAATATCCCTCTGCTGGCCAAAGTAGTTACCCTCTACAGCATCATTAGATGATGAGTGGTATGCCAATGACAAACCACGACCATTGCTGTTACCATTAGCTAAAGGCTGTGCTTTGTGCATATCCTGAACTAGTGACCCATTTCCTTCTTGCTGAACATAGAAGGAATTCAAATTTCCAGTACCATTAGCAGACACACACACTGACTGAGATAAGTGAGCTGATTTGGTTGAAACGTTTTCATCTGAATTAATGCCCTTTTCTGAGGTGGAACTGGTAACATCATCATCCACCTTCTTTGTATTAAGAAAACGACCTCCACAACCCCTAGCCCTTCTCATAGCATGTAGATGCCGGGACTCATGAAGGTATGGCTGTAGTCAATGTCAACAGAATTGAGTCCTGAACCTCCCTAATTTGTAATTTCTTCCAGCCACAAAGAAATAGAAAAAGGGAAAAAACCTAAAAATACCAATTCTACCTTTCTAACTTTAATGACTTTCTTTTCAAGCTCAGCCTTAGCACGTATTTGTCTTCGTCTCAAAATGCCATGATATTGCTTTGCATTTACAAAAACAGGCTCCTCTTCCATTTGAAGAGGCAAAGGCATTCTGGCATGAAGCATTCCATATAGATGTGGTGACACCTGGCACAACATAGTTGGAGTTATCAGAAATGTTTTGGCATACCAAATTCAATTAGCAAGAGAACACATTGAGTTTATCGTTTACAATACATATAAGCATCTCTTAAACCTTCAAAACACTAAGTTCATAACCTTTATCCCCACTAGTGAAAACTCATGAAACTCATTTGAAGACAATTAAATGAAATAAATTCCTAAAATAAGCGTCTTACAGCAATGACCAACAATAATTATGCCAAAAACAGTGATACTTCGGATAAATTGAAAGAAAAAAAAGATAGTTCAATTTGTACACAAACTGTGAAATAATTAGCAAATATATTTTAAATTATTAATGAATAAGGTCATTTTGCTCTCATGGAAAGCAAAGAAAGGAAGAACTCATTTTATATGAACTTCTAAGCACTATTTGTGGCTGCAGTGCAACAGCATTATATAGAGCAAATGAGCCATAATCCTAGGTAGAAGCATCACCATTGCAAAAACTTTTGTCAAAGTTGTATACATACAAAGTAATGCAATGCATAACATGGCAAAAGGAGACAAGATACATCGTCTTATTCAAATTGTAGCTAAAAAGAATATATTTTCTAGTAACAGGATACCCCTACCTACTGCAAAATAATAGTCACTAAATTGTCTTTTCCTGTTACCCAATTTACCAGAGAACAAGACATTCAGAGCATACCATCATTTGTGGCCCATATGAAGTCAGTATTCCACCATATTGTGGATCTGAATAGGGATAAGATGTCAAGACCTGAAAAGTTTGTAGCAAGATTTCTTCTGCAGTCAAAGAGAGAACCAATGCAAACTAATAGACATTTAAAGAATACACAAATTGTTGGTTAACTGCCAAAATACATGGTTGGATGCCAGTTCATGAATGCCTTGTTATGTATGTAAATGTATGCATGGGTTTATCTCTGTGTGTGTGTGTGTGTATGTGTGTGTTAGAGAGAGAGAGAGAGAGAGAGAGAGAGAGAGGCCTTACAATTGAGTGACCAACTAGTTCCATCTGGGAATTTGGTTCAAGGTGTTCACCAAAAGAAACGGGTCCCTTGGAAGGAACATGCTTGAGATGTTGACGATCTTGTCCATTTCTCCCATCTGATCCCAAAACTATGACTGCATCAATATCTAACGAATACAAAGCAGCACATGGTTTTTATGCTTCAATTTCAAGCAAGGAGCAGACACATCACATAACACTAGTTATCATTCTTAGATGGTAGCTATTTCCACAACCTTGATTAAATTGGGTTTTGCTGTTCTCCTCAACAACCTAAGATGGCACATCCGAACTTTTTAAAATCAACATTAAGGATATATGTTCCCACCCAAAAACACTAACCATGTGTGAGGAATCCAAAAAAAAAAGTTAAAAAGCCTCCTGTATATCAGGTAGGTTTATAGAATACAGAAAAATGGGAAAAGAATGGCAAGCCAAGAGCCGATACCGGTGCAGCATCCTATTGGGAATGATGCATTACTAAAGATCATAGTGAAAATAGGACAGCTCCTTTGAATAATATGAAGCTCGTTCCTCCTAGTTCTATCCAGTGTGAAGTTAGAAAACATCAAATGAAAAAATTTAGAAATCCTTTACCACCCCCACTAAAGAGGCTCAAAACGTTCTCAGGAATCACCATATTGCAGATTCATGATTTCCTATTTTATGAAGAACAAGGCAACAACAAGAACAGAACTTCTGCAAAATAACCCTTTTGTCTCTTACATTACTACTTCTTTCTTCCTTTTCCCCTTTTTCATTTTGTGAGACGAGATCACATCCTCTTAACTAATTTCTAAGCTAAATTTCCATTTCTTGTAATAAAAAATTAGGTAAATGAATGACCAAGAACCATAAGAACAGTAAACATTAGTTTGAAGTAAACAATATAACTTTTTCTTCCTTTTGTCAAATCATAACATATTATCAGCGTGTAAGGAATGGAGACAGATTCACCAATGATGTAAAGTGATTAAGAAAAATAAGAACATCGGTCTACCAATACCAAATGACGAACTACTTGGTCTCAAGACCGATATGTTGTGGTTTTTTAGCATAAAAAAAAAGAAGCATTCCATCTTTAACTAATATTAGAAATCCGAGATTGTGATCCAATAGTGATCAGATTCTCTTTAGTGGAATTACCCCCATTTCCCATGCCACCATGAGCCTGTGAATGCACAGCTCCATCTGCCACTGAACCCTTTAGTTGTTCTATAAAAGTTGACTTTGAGGCAGCTTCACCAAAGGGGTTAGGCGCAACTCCTTTCCACCAGGGCTCAGAGTAGGCAGTTGACTGCAACACACTTTGAGCACCATGGTCCATCCGTTGATCTTTATTCCCTGGTTTTGCTGGCATTATTCACAACTTAATCTGGAATCAGCAGCCAAATCCCCTAACCAATCAGAAACAGAGAAAGAGAGAGGTTAAAATTATTTGCACCCTAAATACAATCTAGAGACCCAAATAGCCAAAACAGAGAAATTTTCCCATGAAATATAAGGAGAATAGAAGCAGCAAATTCCACAAAGACCTCAATTTCCCGTTATCATCTAATACAACATAAGTTATTTGCAATCTAAATGCCGAGTTTCATCAAGCTTCATAGCAAAATATCTCTAAATTACACATGAATCATATGTATAATATAAACATCGTTATGTTAAAAAGAAAAGGGGGGGTTCATTCCCGAAATTCAAAATTCAATTGAAATTTAAAAATTAAAACTTCAAAAGTTTTATAAAAAAAAAAAAAAAGAAATCACAGAGCATGATTTAGCGTCCAGCCGAACTTAATACAACTAAGTGATTCAATTTATAAATTCGGCATCTGGGTATCTCTAATTCCAACCCATAATTCTCATGCTAATCATCTTTTTTTCAACCAAAAAAAAAAAAAAACAAATGAGAAGATGCTAAATTAAAACTCTAAAGTAGTGGTGTTGGAAATTTTGAATCAAAGACGGAAAAAAAGGAAAGATCTTTTGAGAGAATTTTTTTTTAAAGAAAGATAAATATAGAGGACTTACTATAGGAGGCAAGCGGAGAACGAAGAGGTGCTAAAGGGATTGGATTGGTCATAAAAATTTGTACATTCTGGACGCTCTCTCTCTCTCTCTCTCTCTCTCTCACAGCAACCTTAACATTGAATATGGTAAGGAGAATTTTTTTTTTTTAAATTATAATAAACTTGACCTTACTTAACTTATCTGACTGGAATAGGATATTATACACTTAATCGAATCCGCATCTTATCATCTACATTTTGTTATTATTATTATTATTATTTTTTTAATAATATTATTAATAAAGTAGTAATTTTTTAATTATGTTAGTTTTAGCTGACGCAAATGTGGAAAAGAAAAGTTTGATAAAAATAGCAAATGAGAAAGCTGAAGTCACCTTGCGGAAAATTGCCTTTCCCTTCTTCTAATTTTCTTCACTTTTTTATTGTTATCATTATTATTATTTTCAATTGCTTGGAAAACGAACGACAGAAAAAAACGTTTGTTAAGGTTTTTTTTTCCCCCAATAGATTCTCACACAACATTCACATTTTCACATAAAAGATTTTGGGTCATTGTTGATTAGCTACCATTAATAGAGTTGTATAAATAATTCTAAAAATCTTAATAAGAGAAAAAGCTATCATTAATAGTGGAATACGTACAGATACCTAAATATAGAAAATGCAAAGTAGCTTTGGTTGGGTTTGGCTTGGCTTGGGTCATTCTATTTTTTTATATTAAAATTAAAATAATAGTAAAAAATGGTAGCAATAGTAGATGAAGGAAAGATCAACTCAATTTTGTGGGATGGAATGGATAAGCAATAAGTGTGTATTGGAAGTTTCTTAGTTACTACATGTGAGCACTTTTCATCATCACTTTCTTCCAGCGGCTGTCAGCCATTCGACACCTTTCCTTTTTAATCATTCCTAGCTTTCGAGGAAAGCTTCAGCTACAATTTTTGTTAAAAAAAAAATATATATATATATATATACTTTTTAATCATACAACTAAACTATGGTTGACAAGCCACTATCATGTCTTCTCAAAAGAGCAATTAAAGTCCTGATAAAAAAATAAAAAAGAAGCAGCTATAATTTAATATCGTAATTTATTACGCAAACCCAATCTCAAGATATCCAATACTGGACGCACACACAGTTGCCAGCGGCGACACATGTGATGATGCACACATAACGTCTCCTAATCGTGATGATATAGTACGGTTCCACGGTCACGCAATTTAGATCTTGCCGCGTCCTCACCAATTTAGTATTTATTGTATTTGTCAACGTCGTCACTCAATGCTCTTCTTGGCTTCGCTTGCTTAACGGCGTTATCACGTTTATGAGCCCTTAAATGACGCCGTTCTTGTTTTCATCCTAAGTAACAGGCTAACACCTAGGGACGGTAATCCTGTCTCTTACGGATTTGATCCGATTCGATCTTATAAGATTGAATATTTTTTTTGAATTTTGAGTTTATAATAAGGACGGATCGAATATAATTAAAAAATAATCGAGATTAGATCGAATTTAGATATATTTAAAATTCGATTCGATCCGATCATATTATAAAAAATTATTTTTAATTAATTATTAATTAATATATATATAATATTTAAATTTTAAAACATATCATTTTATATTTTAAAAAAATATTTTATTAATTTCGAATCGAATATTATTTATATAATATCAGATAAAATCGAATTCGAATTTAATAAATCATAAAATCGAGTCAAGTTTAGAGCGAGTTTAACTCGTCTCGATCTCGACCCAATCCCATCCCTACTAACACACCCCCCAAAAAAAAAAAAAAATTAAATGTTTAATATTACAGCACAGGACCATAACTCTTTTTTGATCGTTGTTTTAAAGAACAATAATTCTAGCAGTTTGCTTGATGCAGGTCAGTTGACTTTTCTCCTGGGCATGCGTTAACATTTTCATATACAGTAATCTAAAAAGTTAAATTAAATGAAACATCTTCATTTGCGCATAATGAAAAACCAAACCAGAGTGATCTAAATTACCTACATTAATAAACATCCACAGCCCCCACCAACAAATGTTGCACGGTAAAGCTCATCTAAAAAATTATGTATCATGCACAACACTGTTTCTAACTTTAGAGTTGCACAGACAGGCAGTCCCGACAATTTATCATTCTTCTGACAGGTTTATATAACCACTCTTCCTCTATTCGGTCATTGACAGTCGACAAACGCATGATTTTGATCAGTGCAACTTACAGGCTCAGTAGCATAACATGGAGAATTTTATAAGTTTCAGCTTAATTTGATATTTCAGCATCTCGCCAACACACGGTTAAACTCTTCCAGGCCACTATGGTGTCAAGCATGGAAAGGAGTTCCTCTAAAAGGCAATGTCACCTAATATCATGGAAACATGCCCTCAAAGTACTTATCAAAGTCTTCGTCGTTATCATCACTTTCATGATTGACAGCTGAAGATGAAGTCCTTTCAACTGAAAAAAAAGGGGGGGGGGGGGAATAATAGTAATAATAATTATAATAAACATATCTAAGTTCTAAAGGTGTAGGCTAAAAATTAATGGCCGAATAAATAGATGGCCTTGGGTGCCCTTAATTCCACAGCTAGGCTGCGATAGGCAGAGCCAAATTATCACTCATCTTAACGCTCCTTGGCCCTGTTAGGATCCTTTTCAGTAGCTTAATGAACCTAAGCTCAAACATTTATTTGTTGGTAGGAAATATATAAAACATTAAAACCAGTAAGTATTGAATATAAATATAACTAACTACATGCAACCCTCCTTGCCGTGATGTGGCTTGAATCTTGAAAATTCAAGCTCAAGACCTATTATTGGCAGAGTGTGTGACTGGCTCTGATGGTGTGGGGGAAGTAGAGTAATAAGAATGGTATCTTGCTGTAGAAGGTAAGCAATAAGTTATGAAAATGAATGATGAAGGACCATCAATGGCAAGTCCAAACCTTTTTTATTCGCTTTGCTCCTCTCACGCTCCTCATCTGTGTCATCTTTATCTTTTGACTGATCCCTGAACATAGTACCCAAGTCAACTTCTAAACATGGAAAAAAGAATTGAGACACCACTCTTCTTCAATAGTAGATAACAAAATCCTAGCAATAAGTTTTTTGGACAAGTAGACACCTTTTTCTTTTGTACTCCTTTTCTGTTTTCTGTCTAGTTCCTCCGTCCTTTTTTGTAATGAATCTTCTCAATGAATCTATTTGAAACAGTCAACAATAAGAGAGCAGTCAGGGACTTAATGCTTAAGCGTAAATTCATATATATTAAACTATATATGAAGAAAATGTTTCATATCAAGTTACTGAAAGAACATATTCACAAACAGTAGACAGAACACAAGAAATTCAATAAACAAAAATCTCCAATCAACTAAGAGAATCTTCCTATGCAAAAATTGGAACATCTTTGTGTCCGGTTAGATGCCAAGAGATTTGAAATTATACTGCTCAAATGATAACAACCATGCCTTTTCCAACTACACGTGTATCCTGGAGATAAATTACAATGACGTATCCAAATAAGTTTTACTCCATATTTGAAAGGCAAGGTTGCAGACTAGACTTACAACAAATGACAACCATCTAGCATAACACTCTTACAAGTCATCCTCTCGACTTCCAACCCACACATCCAAGCATCCATTTGAGGTCAGAAAAAACATTTTTGCTTTGCTTAACATGTTCATTATGTTTTATAAACATTGTGTACATCAACTGGATGAATGATACACAAATGGCAATGGTCAATACGAGAACACAGGCAATATTAAGCAATTCTCCAGCAAGCCATGGTCCTTAAACTCCAAGAACGAGGTATGAAATTGAGAAATACACTTTTACCCACTTCAACATATTCCTAAAACATGAATGAGTGGCAATGGTAAACAGAGAAAAAAAAAAGCAATATTTAGCAATTTTCCAGCGGGCCATGGACCTTAAAAATCCCACTGCATGGAATGAGATGCAAAAAAGCCAACAAAGTACTACAGGACATCTTTTGTGCACAAAGTTGCTTGATGATAACATAATAGTTCTGGCCCAACATTAGCAGAAAGAGATAAAATTGAAGAATCAGACAAATAAAATCTCACTAAATGGTAAATACCTCACCTTTCACAAGTTACCAACTTCACAAGGGCTTGCTTGTTTTCTCCAGCCTCAAAATAGGAAAAGTTTACCTGAAAATTTTATCCAGGGAAAATGAATACCCCAAGTTACCCTAATATTTGCACAGACAAGATAATTCTCTTCATAACAAAATATTTCAGTATTGAGAAAGTAAAATAGGAACTCCACGTCCCTCCACAACATCCTTAATGCTATTGATGAGGTAGCAGTATCACATAAAATATTATCTAACCTTGCAAAAATTAATACCCATATAACATCAACAAACTCCAAATCATCTGATATCCTGTGTAAAGTGAAAGGATGATCGCTAGTGAAAGGACAAATGGTGATTACAAGTACAAACACTTGCCTCATAGCTTGCTAAGTCATCTTTTTCATTGTAGTGTTTATTACCACATATGGACAGTCCTGACAGAAAAGAGTAATAAGTAAATTATGAACTTATGTACCATTGCCACTTAATCAACATCAATATGATTGAAGACAAATGAAAAATTGAATTTATAGAAAGACAAAAATCAATGGAAATATGAGGTGTTTAAGGCAGTGAAGATCTCCTCGCTCTTGCTTCTAGGACCTTTCTACTCCACACCTCTACACTACCTTCATGATCAATTAATTTTACAAGTGGAAGTCAGCACGAAAAGTGTAGCAATTCCTACAACAGATTTTGTTGCATCTAGCACTCTCTCAGCCCTCAAAATTTTAACCAATTTTGGTTCTCATAGTAGTGCCTGAATTTTACCTCATTCTTTATCACAACTACCAATTTTTTTTCGCTTAATCTTTGTCAATCCCTTTCCCAACAACTTTTGAGGTTAAATTAAAGCCATCTGTAC